CGGTACTTGAGAGATTGTACCGTCTGGCTTCACCAAAGACAAGACAACTCCTTGATGCAAACTCTTCCTTAGAGATTCGATTTGTTTCAAAGTTAGAGATGAGCCTGTCCGTTCATAAAGTAAAGTCTTTACAAACACTTGGCGAGAGGTGGTTCTTTAGGCATTGTTCCGCTATTGTAACGGCTTCTGTGCCAAGATGAGTACTTAACACTTTCACTTGTGCCTCTTCTAGTTGTACATGGCCACGATGAAGCTTTGTTTGCCTGTCTGGAACTTGGGTAGATACCATCGTCTGTGTTCCTGGCTATATATAACATTGAAAGAGAATGGACATTTGACACCCTCCCCCTCAACAGGAAGCTGAGTCTGGGTGGTTTTTGCTGTCCTTTGGGACCTATTGTTTGTAAAAACGACTCCTGGGACAACATAATGGTAATGTGATCCCGCCTCTTATCAAAACCCTTGTTTTTGATGCGGAAGCCAGCAGTCTTGCAAGGAAGTACAAAGTATGGCATCAAAAATTCTTTAATATGCGCCGGATCACAGATTGATACATCGAAGGTAGCCAATACACCGTCGATTTCTCCATTCGATAATTATCGAACCCCAGAGTATCCATAATGTTTATCTCCTTGGCGTATCATCAGCTAGTGAGGTTGCTACATTCACACATGATGGAAGCAGGAGTCCATTCTTCATCATTGATATTGTATCTAGCAACATGAGAGAGTTCAGATAGGAAGAGTCCATTTTACTTGATAAGCTGTCAGTATTATGGCCTGCAAAGTGCATCTTCCTCTCTGCCTCCCAACACCTGGCAAAACACCTTGCTAAGAAAACACCTGGCAAAAAAACTTAGCAAAAATTCGTCGCTGTGTATTATACGTAAAATACGTACAACACATAATACATGTAATACGTATAATAATTGTTCCACTTGTGTTATCTGTGTATACGTATAACTTGTCTAATACATATTAAAAATGTTATATGTGTAATACGTATGAGCTGTAGAATACATAGTGAAAATGTTATACGTATAATACAACCGCGTGCGTTTCAGGGGCTCTCCTTGAGGTGGAGCGGGCTGACGTATTACGTTCGACGGAATTCAGGACAAATTGTGGAGTCTCTCGGCAAGAAACGCATTAGAAACCTTGAGATAGCCTTGTACTGAACGTACAAAGACATGTGCGATTAATAATTCCACGTCGTCTCCAATTTTTATCATTATGTCGGACAAAGAACTCGGGGCAATTAGTTCAACATGTGGCCTCAAAGAGTTTCCAAGAGGATCGAACTTACGTTCTTCGTCGCAAAGATTTAAAAAGACCTCCGGACTTCCCTCCAATCTTGTGAAGCACGTCCCTAACTAATAACTCCGCAGTGCCACTACAACTCTTCACCTTTGACAGGCAATCCATCAATCCATAGTGGTCAAAAATATATAATATCCATATTATTTATGATGCGCAATAGAAACCTTTTTGGTGTTTCCTTGGTTCATGGTTCATGGTGGTTGTTTTTTGTGAGCTCTCATCTCTCATCGGTCAAGTTGTTTTATTAAGAGATTAATAATTAATTTTGGTTCATGGCTGGTCACAGTGGTTGTTTTTGGCGGGTTGCTTTGGCCAAAAGTAAGTGGCCTTCGGCTGATGACTTAGCAGTTGTCTACCCCTTGCAGGAATTCCCCGACTACTGGAATTCCTTGGGAATTCCTTGAAATCGGATTAGCCAAAGCCATGCGTGAAGGAATAGGGCGTGGCCAACTGAAAGGCTCCTGGGAAGCCCGAGAGTACTTGCTATGACATACATGTACTGAGTAGTCTAGACTAGCTAGTACGGTACCGTTACATGAAAGACCAAGCAATCAGTGCCAGCAGCAGATGGTTGACCAGCTTCATCACACTACTGGTGCGATTCTGACGATGTCATTGCCCAATGGTTTCTGCCAGCTGGGAGGTATCAGGAAGCTTTGAGATGGTACGATGGTACCGGTACCGAAAAAACTACCACAGTACACTGTAATAAATAATTATTGATCACGGGCACTGCATGTACATCTATCTCATTGCGTGTCATCCATTCCTTGAGTAGCCAGTAGAAGCGGACCGGTGGTCCGGTGCCAAGACTTTCTAATGGAAAATTTATTTAATGGTCCACACAATGGTCCACACTCAGGTCTCAGGGAGTCCCTTCCAGTCCCTTGCTGTCTTGCTGTCCATGACCGCCTTGCCCCACAAAGTGCGAGAAAGCAAGCTGCTCGGACGAAGATATCATGCATTGTGCCTGCCTACAGTACTATTCTTAACAAGGGTTGGGCTTGCTCTGCTGCTTCAATCTTTCACCCAAAGGGTATTAGTTTAGTTTAGTTTCCTCGGTGCACACTGGTATTCGGGGGTTGGATGTCCTCTGACGCATTTGGTCCCCAAAGCTACGCATTTGGTCCCCAAAGCTACTTCATTAAAAAGAAACAGACAGGGGACCATTCAAATGCATTGGCTTGGCCAAAGGGAGCGGGAGGCACTAGCTTGATTGGGTCTCCATTGGCAGGGAGTTTTGCTTATGTCTAGACCGAAGTCGGATGAGAAGAGTCGCGTGAATTTGGTGCCATTTGTCTGGTGCAGTGCTCCTTTAGGAGAATGGCACGACCACATGCTGGAAGCTACCGTCGGGTCCACACTCAGGTCTCACACAGGGAGTCCCTTCTAGAGTCCTTTGCTGTCCATACAGTATATATCGGCTTGCCCAGCAAAGTCCAAGAAAGCATGCAGCGCACGAAGATATGATGCATTGTGCCTGCCTACATACTACTCTCCTCTACAAGGCTTGCTGGGCTGCTTCAATGTTTCCCCCAATAGTCATTAGTTTAGGTTTATTATTCTAAAGGTGCACACTGGTATTCTTGGGGGGGGGGGGGCTGGATGTCCTCTGGCGCAACCGGCCACCAAAGCTATAGCTACTAGCAAGCTAGATTCAAAACGATTGATTGATTCAAGAAACATACAGCCAAAGGACCATTCGAAAGGATGCGTGCGCATGGCCAAAGGGAGCGGGAGACACTGGCTTAAATGCGTCTCCACTGGCAGGCACAAATAAATGTACCGCATGGGTATGTTTGCCAGCCTGCCTGTGATGGATGGGAACCGATAATCCTATCCGTCCCCTAAAGACATCCATCTTGAGGTTAGTACCGTATTGTAGCTGCATCCATCCATCCCTCCAAGCACCACAAAAGTCTATTACTGCCCACCGCCTCATTTGATTGCCTGACTGGCTGACTGACTGACAAACTAATAGATGTACCCATCCAGATCATTTCGTCTTGGCAAAATGTGATCCATCAGTTCCAAATCTTCTTGATTGATTTCTCTCAAGTATTCTCGATCTTCTGGAGTAGGCCCTGCTTGTGCCAGTCTGGGTACATGATTTCTTCGGGATGGATTCCTGTGATCCAACTTGACTTCTGGTGCATCCAACAGAAAGGAAATCCATCGCTTGTAGCGAGGATCGTCCATTCGATTTTGTTGAATAATGAGATCAAAGTCATGCTCGAGAACGTGTTTGGCTTTGGTGAGATTTCCTGGCACAGTGCCGGAAAACCATTTGGTCATGCAGTTGGACGCGCATTGCCAGACAAAGTAGCCTCGTCCATCGGCCATGAATTCATGGTAATCCTTTCGTTTTTCCACCCAATCCCGAAAACTGTGTGGATTGCTGGCATTGACCGTTCCTTCAAACCAATACGAAGACTCGGCTCGCGCCAGGGGATCTCGAACCATGGTAATCATGAGTGTTCTATTACGATGTTGTTTTCCGCGGTAGCCGTACCCTTCATTGACCGAGTACTTGAGTCCATGGTGCTTGGCGACATTTTCGAGGTATTTTCGAATGGTCGAACCACCGGCTTTTCGAACATGGTACAAGTGGATCGCGTCGTACTTGGACATGTCAAACGGTTCCAAATTTGGCATGGCCAAGGCACTCATGTTGATGGTGTAATCATGCAGCAAACTACTAATGGCGGCATGCTTGTCGTGGACTGTCGTGGCATCGGACGATTTCATCAAGACGCGTCCTTCTCTCAAGAAAGAAAAGGCCGCCATGAAAACAACGGCCAACAGCGTCAAGACCAAACGAGCCATTCCATGAAGACGAGCGGCTTGCCGGGACGCGTCCAACGCCGCTTTCGATTCCACTTGGGCTCGAGCTGCCTCTTGCAATTGCCGTTGCTGTCGGACTCGTTCCGCCATGATATTCACTTCTTTTTGTTCTTTTTGTTTTTCTTTCAATAATGCCTTTTCCTGCTTTCGCTGTTCGTGGAGACTTTGTTTTACCATTGTGAGATCTTCAGGCCAGATCCATTTGGTCAGGACAGGAAGCTAGCTAGCAAGAGGGGATGGTCGTGAGGTTGCTTGGTTGGTCTTGGTGCCTCATATTTCTTGATCGCTTCAAACGGAAGGACATCTCATTCAATCTTGGGGTCGGTCATTGACTGTCATTGTGACTTTTTGTTTCAATGCAAGTTGTGCAACCACAAACCTTACCGCAGGGTATGGTTAGACAAAGCTACATGTAGATAGGATGTCTCTATTTTATGCCTCGGGAGACACGTATAAATAATTCCTCATGATGAGCTGCCAGTGGATACAGTGCACACTGGAACTACCAACGGTACTGTACCAGATCTTTGTGTACATGCATGGCAACCTAGCTACCGTAGCTACTACCTGGTACTAGATGTTGTTCCAGAATGTTTCTTCTGTTGGGGCCTTTGTTGGGGCCTTTGTTGACTTGAACGGATATGATATCCTGGCATGTCTCTTGCTTGCACTGTATATAATATGCGGGCTGGCTTTTTGGCACTGGGGGGTCTGGGGTTGGCTGTCCTGGGAGACTTCTTCCCAATGCTCTGTGTGGGCAAGCTACTGCTGGATTTCTGTCTTTGCCTCTGCCTTAATCGCTCATTGTGGGTGAGGTTGTCCCTGCCTATTCTGAAGCTGTGGCAAAAATGAACTTCCATACGATAATAGGAAGCAACTTGGCCATCACCCCTTCAGAGCAGCCAGTTGCCAACAAAGTTGCTTGTCAATGGCTGTGTGGCATCTCTTTGATTAATTGAATTGAAGAGATGGCAGCTACATTCTTGTTTCTCCTTTCTTCTAGTTGCTAGGTGTTATCCGCGTTGCAACGTCCTGGCTAAAAGAGCTTCGCGATACCACATCCCTAAAATGCAAAGATTTCATGCTGTCCTAATGATGTATGTTCAACTGTTGTACTACGCACCAGCAATTGCTCAACTGTCACTACTGGTACTTCCCGTCGTCTCCTCCTCAATGTGCTCCTGAATAGCACGGAACCATTTCTTATCCTGTTTCGGTGTCAATTTCAGTGGCAAGAAAGATTCGGGCAAGACGCTCTCCGCAGTCGCAGCGCCATTACTTGATTGGCCGCAGTCGCGGTTGACAAACTTTCCATTTTCTCGTTTCTCAAAGCATCCTTTTTCAGCAAACAGGTGTGCATGTTCTGGAAGAGAGGCTACCATGGGATTGATAAAGACTTGCATGTGAAGCCAAATGTGCGTGGCACTGTAGAGCTTGCCGTCCGGACCAACACAGGCAGGATCGTCTTCATTGTTCTTGTCCTTGCAATGGTCGCGCTCTTCGGAGGCAACTTTTCGGATCTGTTTGGTGAGACTGGGAGAGTAGCGGAATCCAAAGCTTTCAAACTTGTTGATCCACCAATCATCGTCGTGGACTTCAACGTGGTGCCTAGAAAGATATGATCGCACATAGTCAATGACCACGAACAAGCAAGCGATTGAGATTGATACCAGAGAACAACACGGAACATGACTGATGCATGCTTGGCAACATCGGCACAACCAACTCACCAGCCACCCCACTGACTGTGCGTTACAAAGATCAGGGCAGCCTTTCGGAAGGCTTGAATGTAGTTGTGGTGGAAGTTACGTCCCACGTGCTCGGCGAACTCCACCGACCAAACGGCATCATACGTATCTGCTGGCCAGTACGGGCCACGGCTAAAGTCGTGTTCCACAATGTGCTTCTCGGGATGGGGCAGCAGTGTGTTCTCCACAGCATCATGGCTCCCTTCCAAGCACAATGTCTTGAGACCGTGGTGCACAAACCAAAGGGATGAGACTCCCTTGCCTGCCGCCGAAGAGATCAATTTGAGCATTTGCTTTCGCTTGTTTTCCCTTTGAGCCAAAAGTCGACCTCTTTGAACTACTTACCGCAGCCCACGTCCATGATACTCTTGACACCGAGCGTCTCCACCATGTACTTCCATGTCCATGGCGATACCCCGTCCTTGTCGTATGTTGTAAAACCTCCGAGATGTTGCTTATCCCCATGTCCTCCGTAATGCTTTCGATCGACCTGCACTTCAGTTCGGATAGATGGTAACGCAACCGCTTCACCTTCGGGTATGTCCAGAGGAGACCTCCTCAGTCCTCTGGGAGCTGCATCGGCTCTTTCGACAATCTCCTCCTCCTCCTCCCCCCACTTTGGCAATGCTCCAACATCCACCCGTTCTATCAACGAACGCCAGCTAGTTGATCGCAAGAGCTGCACTTCTTCCGAATTGCTCTCAAAGTAGGAAATGAAAACCAGGCATGCCATGAGCAGGACGAAAATGACACGTGTCTCGATCAAGCTCGAGTATACGGTACGTAGCGTCCGAGCTTCCCGGACATTGTTTCTGGATCCAATAGCTGTCATGATGCTGGGTACTAAAGGTGGGGGATACCTCACATGAAACAACTAACTGCTACTGCCTGGAAGAAGCAGCCAGCATTCAAATATTGTGCTGCCAGATAGCTTTGCATCGATCCTTGCATCCCATGCTCTAATCAAGTAAGTGATGCCAGGTCCCGACAACATCGACCACCTGGCAGAAAAAGAGTGTACTGTACATGTAGCTACTCGAATGGGCAGAGGCTCGGCACCGAAGCCCGATTTGTGGCCAGATGCTTGAGGCGGCGCATTATTGGGGAGATTGAAAAGAGCTCAGTCCCAGTGTCCCAGTACCACCGCTGTAACATTGACCCATATATCCACCAAAAGCATGTCCCACGAGCAAGCCTTTCCCCACATCACCCGGCTTCATGCAGAGGGCTTGACAACCAGCACATCTTCCAACGGTTACTTCGAGCTTCAAAGGTGCACGGAAGGCTCAACGGGACAATCGCGTGGGTTCGACTTGAACATCGGCACGAACGTTCCGAACCTTGTGTGTCCGTTGTCTCGATTGTGGTGCTCTCTGCGCTATTACACATCCAAATGCTGGTCTTGTTCTTGGATGAGCCCACTTGTACGACTGTACACAAAGCCTCTTTCTAGCTAGATGTAACCTACGGCAACAAGTTGTTCCGTGTATGCGCACATGTTGTTCGATACGCAACGACCAATAATAGCGTTCATAAAACTCATCTTCCTTGAATATCAATACCAATACCAATACCACCAATCGATTAAACCATGTGTGGCCTCACAGCAGCAGAACAAGAACACATGGAGGAATTTGAGGCGACACAAGCCGCTCATTTCACCAAGATGCAATATCGCGTTCGAAAGAAACCCATTCTCGAGACACTGTCGCATCCATTCTCCCTCCTGAGAGCCGCCTTGATTCTTCCCATGCCATGGGAATCCCTCTACATTGTCGTTCAGCTGTCTCGATCGTCTTCTTCTCCGCCACAACCAATGGGATTTCTAGTAGCCTTTCTGGTGGGTTACTTTTTGGTGGACTTGGCGACGGGGCTGGTCCATGTCTGGTTTGATACCATTCCATTGAGCATGAATACACCCAACAAAATGTCAGTTTTGGAACTCGCGGCGTGGGGATTTCAGCGTCATCATGCCGTCCAACAGAATTGGCATTTCGATGATATACTGGAATCGGGTATTTTAACGACTGGAGCAATGGCATTTCCCTTTTTCCTGGTCTATGTGACACTTTATGGCTGCGGGATCATCACTAGTCCCTACACCGCATTTGCGTGGACCGTCTTTGTCACTTGTGGTATGCACGTACAAGTCTTTCATGCGGCAGCACATAACATTTGGAAAAAGCACCCGCATGTCCAAGCCTGCCTCAATCAACTCATGGCCCTTGGGTTGATTGTGGACGCCAAGGCCCATCATCTACACCATACAAGATTCGATTGCAACTTTTCCATGGTCAATGGCTGGTCCAATGACCTGGTGGTCAATCCATTATACCAATATTTGGAAAAGAATGGATACATTGAGCCGTCCATGCACGGACACGTCCAGCGACAAGTGTACATCCAGGAACGAGCCAAACTGAAGGAACCCTACTGTCGTATGTTTCCCGAGTATCGAACATATCAAGAGCGCATCATGACACAACAACAATCTGAAAAGGAAGAGAGAAAGTAAACAGTCTGACAGAGAGCATTTTTCATCAAGTTCTGTTTGGTCCAGCCGTCCCATTGTGGAAACCCTAGACACCAGAGATACTACACCAAAAGATCAAACGACAAAAGCAGTTTATAGATTGAGTGCAGAATTTTGATAAAGACTGGTGGCAGCCTGGAGAAGGTGGAGCTTGAAAGACTGCTACAAGTTATACCAGGATGTCCCACAGGGGATACTACCAAACCTTGTCTTTAAGAAGCAAGAAAAAAAAAGCAAGACAACAAATCCTACTGTGTGCAGCTTGCATGGCCAAAAAGACATACCGCACCGTACAATAACTGTTTTTTTAAATTAATACATTACTCTGAGTATGTCTCCGTGGATTTCCCCCGCAAAGCCAAGCCAATTGGCCCCCAGGCTGGTCCTCAATTGCTTTCGCTCTATCCCACGGACCCTAGTCCTCCATTTCAACTCTTCTCTGCCTTTAGAAGCCTGCTGGATTCCGTAGACAACCTACTCTAAACCCCACTTTGTTTTAAATCGGGTTATGCCAGAACCTACCGGTCCTTGTAGACCTGCAGTGGTATCAGAGAAGTAATTGTGTGAAATATACTACCCTTCCCTAAAATGTGAAAATTACCCCCGTCGAAAGATTTATAGCCGTTCCCAAAGACTAAAACAAGTTTTGACCTTAGAATACGGTATTAACCCCTTAAATCAATCAGTCTCATAGCCAAATTTCGCAACAGCAACCACCACCACCTTGTTGCAACCACAAGCAAGGATCGACCATGGCCAATCAGTCCTCATCTTCTCCAACACCGGCCTCCTCCAGCTCTCTCACTACCTCTTCTTCTTCCACAAATAGACACTCGTTGTCATCCGCAGCTGCTGCGTCCTCATTGGCAGGCTCCGTTGCTTGTTGCGGTCGGATTACGATCGGCACAATGACTTTTTTTCTGGCCTTGTCGACGAGATTATTGTCACCATTGCCAGCGAGAATGAGACGCAGTACCTTATCCCAGCGCTTGAATATGTTGCGAAAGCTTCGATTTGAGTCATAGCCTTCCCAAGCCTCGAGTACAGTTCGTGACAAGGCTTCTGCACTGGTCTTCGTTCTCCGTCGGTGAAGTTTCTCCACCCAATTTTGCAAGCCCATCCACACTCCAAGATCAAGCAGGTTTGTCTCTGGGCTCCTTGCCACTTGCCAAATCACTTTTACATTGTATTGTTCTTTCAGTTTCTGGAAGTACTCATGAATACAATCCTTTGTGCCATGTCCTCCAGCGTTGTCCATGATCAGATAAATCTCTTGTTCTGGAGGAACCCAATGATGAGCTTCTCGGATTGCTTTTCCTATTTCGAGCATATGCTCAGTCATGAATTTGGAATCACAAGTAACATCCTGCTCGTACTCATCTCCCTTTCTGCGAACGAATGAAAGGGTAATGTGTTTGAGTGTCAGTGGGACTTTGTTTTGGCTTGTTGCTTTTGTTTGGATTAATTTTCCCAGCTCAACAAATTCTTCTTCACTCATTGTTGTCCACTTCTTTTTGCCTGAAGCAGTAAATGAAGGGTACCGCAATACGAGACGATCTCGCGTTTCTTGATCAATCTCCCAATGAGTAACAGCTTGGATCGCATCGAGAAGATCTTTGACTTTCATCGTGGGCAGATGGAGATGTTTCCATTTGTCGTGAATGTCTTTGTTCGTCGAGTAATTATCAACAATCTGCTTAAAGTGAGTTGCACGTTGGCTGATTTTGGTTTCACTCACTCTCTTTAGCAGGATTTTTCCGTCAAATCCTTTATCTGGATGGGGGCAAGCAACCACTCCCATGAACATGACCTTTTTGGTAAATCGGCGGCTCGCAACACGTCGTGGAGGATAGATCTCATCGGTGCTGAGAAGCTCGCCTTTTTGTTGTGGCAAGATCTTTCTCTTTCTTCTCTTTGAGACCATATAGAACCATTTCTCGTCGAGGAAACAATAGTATGGTGGACCAGAGTGTGGCTCTCGAGAGTTGTCTCCTTCTTTGGATGCGACGGAGTTGGCATCAGAGTCTTCTTCGGCCATGGTGCGGATGGCCAAGCCCTCCACATAATGCTGCTCCAGTTCTGTAAGTCTTTCTTGTGCCCAAATCACTCTTTGCCTCTTCTTCTCTTCTGTCAGAATAGGTCTTGTGACGGTTGCTTTTGCCTTGCCATTCATTGAACCAAACCAACTGCGAAGCTGGAATTCTGAGATGGTTTTCAAGTGTTTTTCATCGTCTTCTTCCAACCTTGAGAGCTCGAGCATTTTCTCAGCAATTTCGAGGTACGATGCTTCGTCTCCAATCTCTTCTTGTCTTTGCGCTCGCCGAAACAGAGATAAGATGTAGCCAGGGTAAGATTGCTCGAAGGTTGAGAGGTAAGATCCGCGGTGATTTCCTTCGAGGAATGTCAGTGCATCTTGCAGTACAACACGTCCAGTCTTCAGTGACAGCTCGAACTGTTGATTCCAGTACTTCACGCGATGGCCTTTCGGAGGTTTGTGAAATCCAGCGTCGAAAGCAACCATTCTGCAGGCTGCATCCGCTATGGCAAGCTTTTTCTTCTTCTCCAGCCCAGGGATTGCATATCCCCAAGTCCTTGCCACACACAGTATGATCCATCGCATCGAATCGTCTGGTCTCTTTCGCTTGACAAGATCAACGTAGCCATCACCAAAACGAGATGGCCTTCGGCCGTCCACAAGCCTCGTGAAGTCAAGCTCTTTTGCCAGAGTCATTTCCGCTGGTTCCTTCCAATCGTGGGGAGACAACAGCTCTTCATAAGATGAAAAATTGAATGGATTTGAATCAAGGTAAGAGTCATCGTCTGCTGCTTGGTCCTCTGTATTGCTTGTTTGTTGGCCGCTCTCAATATCTCGCGAATCATCTTCCGGTGGCAAGATTGCTTCGATCTCCTCAACTTGCTCTCCGTTGTTTGGTGTTGTTGTTGTTCTCGGAATAATGACAGCATGACTGAATGATATACGTCTTCGTGGATTTGAATGCGGAGTGGCGACTGGTGCCATCATTGCTCTCGATCGCTTTGCCGAATCAGACTTGCTGCCACTGTGGCCTGGTGTGGTTGAGTGATTGTCTTGGTTTTCTGATACGTGTTCGGTGTAAGTGCCTTTCCATCGATTGATGGCATCTTTGAGTCTCCTTATCTTTTTGTTCGTTGCCACTCCTTGAGTCACAAAGTAGACGGGCGACTTCTTATGCACTTGACGCCGGATTCGATTGCCCTCGCTATCTAGCACTTGACTGTCAGGGAAGTTAATGGATGGATTCGCCTCTGTCGCCCTTGGCTTGTTCCGAACAACAAACAGCAATTCACGAGGGACACTGTTACCATTCAGTCTCATTTCCACTTTCCGAAACTGAAGCTTGTTCCTTTTAAATCGCTGGTTAAGGGCTGCGATCGATTCATTGCTGCACAATTCAGTGGTAGCGATTCCGTCAGCGTTGGTGGTTTCGACAACAATGCCCGTAGCTAACACCATGTGGTAAATAGTTGCATATTCTAAGGAGAGAACAGTGCTGATACTATTGTTCGCTAAAGCTAAATCGATTGATGTCGGAACTACAAACCATCGCCTACTCTTCAATCTAGTCAGGAGCGTTTGTAGGAGCTCCAGAGTCGATTCGGCAACGAGTTGTTCCGCGGTGTCATCATTTTCTGTTGTTGATTCCATTTCATTCCTATATTTTTCGATTACGTATATCTACCGAGGACTCGAGACATCAAATGATATTGACCGACTTACTTATTCAATACTCGACAAAGAATCTCGAACGCACTGCTCAGCAAAGAGGAACCCCTGCACAAACAGCTCTGCCTCTCCACCGTAGGGCATCCGAAGGATGAAAGACTCCAAGGCTTCAATGCTCTCCGAGTGAAACTTGCACTCCAATTTGATTGCTCTTGTAGCATTTGCACTTCTCACTTTCTTCCAGGAAAACCCCCAAGCATAGTCGACAGGGAGGCAGAAACAAGCAACGATATCACCCTCCTCGGCTCCATAGACAATGAGCCGAAAGAGAGGAGACTCGGAATAACGTTGGAGGCACATGCTTCCAACCACACTGTCTCTTGGTCGTCCACACACCGTATACTCCATGACGGCATCTGACTCCGCTTGTACTCCTCTAAGATCTGCAAGGACGGACCACATCTTTGGCATTGATTTCGTAGATTGTGAGTGATGGGAGTGGTCAAATCGGAAGCCAACAACCGGAAGCCAAATTCAAATTGAAGAAAATTCGAGGCTTTGATGCAAAATATTGGCGCCAATCTTGATCAGTATCCTCCAGAGCCACTTCCTCTTCCTTGGCACAATCACAAGCTGCCGCCTATCAACATGACCACTCAATATAGCACAAGCCGGATGCACATCCTCGTTGCAGGAGAGGCCGAGACAAAACTGGTGCTCCCTTCCGCCCGAGACTCTGGAAAGCTCTACAATGCGATTGATCATGCGATTGGCAAAAACGAAGACTCCAGGATGGTTGCAACCTTCTGCAGTGATGTAGTCTTCCCTGATACAAAATTCAACGAGCTTGTTCAGCATTTGAAGCAACACGCCAAGGTTGACAAGGTGGTTGTGGTCTCGGACTCGGCTCTTCTTCTTACAACCAAATCTAAACACTTTGTCACCCTTCAATTCTTTGGCCGAAAGGCGCACCTTCATGAGTCTGCTGCTGTCGCCTCGGTCAACACGGAAACTCCAACTGTACCCAAAGAAAAGAAGGAAAAGAAAGCAACCATGGAAACCAAGTCGATTGCCAATTCGCGAAGCCGCAAGAGGCTCCGTGAACCAAGGAAGCCAAAAATTCCATCACCAAGCAATGATGATTCCTTCGAGCTTGAGCCCGAACTCTCCCAAGCCATGACTCCCCTCAAGTCTTTCGAAAGGAAGATGTAGAGCAACGTGCAAACGCAAACATCGGCCGCAACAGCGGAAGCAAGCTCATGGTGGCTTTTTTGTTCAGTTCGAATGCCGACTTGGCTTGGAAGCATCTCTCTGGACGCCAGACCTCAACAGTCGTGATTTATTTAGCATTCAAAATCTAAAGTAGCCTAACGTTTATCTATTGTCAAAACTTGTTCTTTGGTTCGTGCGCATCAAGGATTTTTCTAGTGCCGGTCGTTAAATCTTTGTTAAGCCAGCGGAGGTGCGGAGCAGGGGGTAATTTTCACATTTTAGGGAAGGGTAAATGTCTCTTTCAAATTGTGAGAGAAGCTCCGGTGCACGGTTGCCGTTGGTTCTGCGGTGCGAAGAAGAGCCAGCCAGTCACAGTTGAAGCAACAAAACTACATGTATGATACCGGTACATACGACTCGATCCCCACTCGTGGCATTTGCAAGAATAACAATAATAATTTAGTGTCGCCAGAGAGCTTTGGCGAGGAACACTAAACACACGCCAAGTGATCATTGGGGTTGCTGCAACGACCCTATGATAGCTACATTCTCCAAATCTTTGGTCAACCACAACATGCACCATCCATTCTTACGGACAGTTATCCATGTCATCCTTCTGTTGCTCAGTAGTTTTGTACTATGCGAAGGTCGTCATGCCGTGATCTTTGACATTGACGGCACACTCACTCCGGATTTGTTTCAGATTGGCCACTGGCTGGTGAGAAAAAAGTCCAAAGATGCCGTCGAGGCCTATCTGGATCTTGGATACGAAGTAGTCTTGTTGACGGCACGTTCTCAGAGGCTGCAATGGTACACTCGGGCCGTCTTGTCCATGTGGGGTTTCCCCCTCGAGGATCTGACTGCCATGGTGTTTGCTCCTCACGCATTGGTCAACGAGGAAGCCACACGCGAGTACAAGCGCATGGCCATTCAGAACATGACGGAAGTGTTGGGGTTGGAGTTTCAGTACGCTTACGGAGATAGCACTACCGATTTCTTGGCGTATGGAGATGCAGGGATTGATTCGTCCCGTGTGTTTGCCACCAAGAGACTGACACGATCCACTTGCATGCCAGGAAATTGGACCGAGTGCTTGGTAGATTATACAGATCATTTGATGTACATTGAAGAACTGCCATTGGCGTTGTGAATATAATAATATTACTATTAGTCTAGATTGTACCTACAACAATACAGACACTTGCTTGCCAGATGAATGCGTCCTCGCTAAAAATATGCATTACAGTATTATACTCAGTAGCTATTCTGGGACAAGGGACTTTTTGGATGTCCAGGGAATGTTGATAAAAACATTGAGTTGTGCGTGGCCTCTGCAATACATACGGGAACTGTGCTAGTAAATGGCAACTCTGTTTACTGTACGGTACTACCGTAACAAGTCTCAACCAAACCGAAGGGGAGTACCTTGAATGGCCATTTTGGGCTTTTCCTGGTTGTCATTGGGAACGTGCTAAATTCCCTTGGTCGCTTGATTGGGAGCTACCTACAGTGTCGTCACATGTGCTCCCCTTGCAGCGTACCGTGCTTTTCCCACGCAGCACTTGGAGAATTGATTGGTTGGTGTTTAGTCGAACCGAATAGGCAACATCGACGGCACTGGCACAACCCCAGACTGTCTTGTCTAGCGTGTAGAGATGGCATCAGCGGTATCTCGTTGATAGTGTCACTAGAGGTCTTCCCCTTCTTTGTCGCCGTTTTTGTTGCTATCGGAGGAGGTTGTCCCCTGTAATTCACGTTGTACTCTTCCCCGCGGCTGTGTTGTAGACGATGATTCAGGATCCAAATTGTCGGAATCACCAGTCTCATACTCTTCTTCTTCTTCCACTGGTTGTTGTTGCTCTGCGGCAGTATCATGTTCGGCTTGCAACCGCCCCAACTCTCGTTTGAAATTGGTGGGTACTTCCTGTCCTTCTTTTGTTGCTTGCCGGACGGCGTTTTGCATCAATTGTCGTTTTTCGTCTTGCCAATTGGGCACGGCCGACACTTGTATTCCCGCAGTCGGCCATTGAATGCGTGGAATTTGTTGCCACGAATCGACGGGCAATAGATGAAATAGATTGTCGTCAATGCGACTGGATACTTTTCTGATAAAGAGTGCTCCACTGTCGGCAATATCGGCCAAATCATACGTTCCCAAATAGTAAGGTCCCCACGTATGGGGTGCGGGTGGAAGGATCATATTGGGAGGAGGATGCTGGGGCACTTCGTAACGCGGATGTTTTGGAAAGTATCCTCGCAATGGAGATGGAATGCGTTCGTCCATGCGTTCGTAGCGCAAATGGCGAATGGGAGGGAGTTGTAGATTGTTATTGTCATTGTTACTGTTGTCATAGACAATAGTACCATCCTCGTCGTGGACCCGTGGCAATGTGGTGGTGTTGAACGGCGGGGTATGCATGAGTACCGTGGGCAAAAATGTTTCATCCGTCATGACTTTTCCAGTCTTTAAAAGGTGATCTCGATAACGACTGGGAAAGCTATCATTGCGTGCCAATTCCGTAACGAGGTATCGGACAAATGTGGGTTGCAAGGCGACCCATTGACTTCCAAAATAGTAGTTGATTTCGACACTGGTGGGAGTTCCCTTGCCACTACTACTCACAGTAGTAGTACTACTAATGTCATTGTAGTGAATAATGGGTGGTGGACTATTGTCGTTGTTGGTGTAATGTTTCCGTTTGTGCCAATGTTTGGGAAAGGCATAGACATTGGTGGGGATCAGACCAGTTTCACAGGATCGAGACGTGACAAAATTGTAATTTTGGAGATGGCCAAAGATTTGTGCCATTGTACCCGGAGTGTAGACCGGATACGTGTCTCCACTGAGGTTGATGAACACATCCCACTTGTCTTGGAACAAGGGATTGGTGACTGCCACTTGCATGCCCCACAGCGTGGGTAGATTCATACTCCAATGACTCCATTGGACTGTGTGGACGGAATCCATGTACACGCGACTGCCACACGGACACGAGTCCATCTCGTCTTGCAGCGCTGTCAGTGCATTTTGCAGCTCCGTCGCATTATTCGGGAAACCGGAGTCAATGGCATCGTGGACTTTGCGATCCACGTGAAAGACAATGCTGTGGCGAGGATCTCGGAGTGCTCGAAACAGTCGTACCGCGTCTTGGAGTGTAAACACATTGTGTACCATTACCAAGTAAAAAATGCGAGCGCCCGTTGTAGTTTCAGTGGTGGATTGCGGCGGAGGTTGTGTGTGTTGTCGGCATTTACAGTCGTTACTACCAGTGCTACTACTACTACTCCCAGTAGTAGTAGAGTCCATCATGACGTGAGAATTCAAGTGTCCATCTGATGGTAACGTCATAGTGGAGGAGTCTTCTACTCCACCATCGACATCAATAGCAACCACGGGAGAAGCCATGGACGCCATCAAGGCAACCAACAAAAAGGCCACTGTCAGCGATAGCCACACCAGTCGACATCGAATCACATATGTTGCCATTCTGAAATACTACTCGCTTGTACTACTACTAGTAGATGCCAAAGACAAGGAGAGGAGAGCCTCGGAGGAGTGGTGCTCTTTGCCGAACTTGTGAAAAGAAGGATGATGACATCCAATTTTTGAATTTGGCCGAGTATCGGCGGTTGCGTGTCCGTGAAGAAGCAAAAATCCTTTGAAAGCCATTAGAGCTGCTTTACTGGACAGACTTTGGGAAGTGACTCCTCATCGTGGAGGTTTGCCACATGATGATTAGGGCAGGAAGGTTCGGCCAGAGGCCAGACCGGTGGATCTTTTCTCGCACCGCTGGCCATCCCGAGTGCTTTACTGTAACCCATCACCCATAAACAAAAACTTCGAAGTGGCTGCACTAGTATTACTACTACAACTAACTGAAAGTGGTGAAGCAAGTGTTAGAAGAAGCATAGCAGGGATCAGAGAAGGCTACTAGCACGGGATGAGTAACTGAGGACTGGTGGCGGAAACTGTGGCTTGTAGTTACGGGGACTGTGTCAGGATCGGTGAAAACGAAGTCAAAGTAGTTGGAACTGAGACCATAATCTATGCCAACAAGAAGCCACTATGGCTGATGAGGGATGCATGGACGACAACAATAAGCTCAGATAAGGGCTACAAACGCAGAGATACAGGAACTGCCTGATGGAATTAATCATGAGGTGAAGAATCGGCTGAAGCTGTTGTCCCAGCCCAGCCTGAAGCTTTGTCCCAGCCTGAAGCTGTGGTCCCAGCCTGAAGCGGTTGTCCCAGCCTGAAGCTGTGGTCCCAGCCTGAAGCTGTGGTCCCAGCCTAAAGCTGTGGTCCCAGTCTGAAGATTCCTGTGGTCCCAGCCTGAAGCTGTTGTCCCAGCCTGAAGCTGTAGTCCCAGCCTGAAGCTGTGGTCCCAGCCTGAAGATTCCTGTGGTCCCAGCCTGAAGATTCCGTCCCAGCCTGAAGCTTTTGAGAACTGACTGCCATTCCATGGTCCATAGAATTCAATGAGGGATGGTTTTCCTTTCTGCACCGGAGAGGGTCGGATTGGGTGAGGCTTGGATAATATCGTACCGGTAGAGGTGCAATCGATCGACTGTCACTCAAATAATTAAAGAACAACTCAACTCTCCTGTTGTCGGCCGAACTTGCAATTCTCTCCTGTTTACCATAGAAATTCAATGAAGGAGAGTATCAGTACAGTAGTAATAACACACTGATAATAGGCTTGCCTCGTAATACATACTGAGTAGCAGTAGCGATCAGCCGTTCCTCCACCATTGTGTTCCTGTTGTTGGTGGTGTCGTGTGGTGTGTGGTGTGTAAATGTGGAGATCAGTGTGCGGTGAGTGCTGGTACGTATGTGGCAAGCCAATCCACTACTACTACATACTGTACCCCATTCCCCATTCGTTACTGGAGAAACCTTACTGTACAGTACATATTTTGTGAGATCTTCTCCAGTGTTCTTTTTATGGAGTTCATTAATTAAAGGCTATATACATTTCAAACCATATCCATAAGTGATGGTTTGATGTGAGAGAAAGGTTTTACTACACTCAATCCTTACTAATTACTAGTGTATGCTTTAACCCACCAAAAACACTTCAAGAAGGCCTCATAATTGCAGAATCAGCTTTTGTACAGGATGACTTCTTTTACCGCTGACAGGTGTAAAATGTGAGCGTTTTTACGGTTATTTTTCTGTTTTCGGAAATGGGATCCCAGAAGTGGTCATTTCGCGAATCGTGCTTGTTCGGCAAACAGCAGAACAGAGAAGAATAACAAAGAAAAGATTGAAATTTACCACCATGGCAACAGTGTTGGCCAAATGGTCTCTAGCTTAACCAATACATTGTTCTGGCCTATCCGGTCAGAGGACTAGCTCCCCAACACACTCACAGGCACTCTCCTTGCGCGGGATAGGCCATCTCCAACCTTTGTCATGGATCTCAGCAGAGAAAGCCAGTCAAAGTCATCGATCCGTCGTTTCGTTCGATCCGTCGTCTCGTGCCATTGTCGAGGCGTCGTTGTTGCAATAGTAGTAGCCGTAGTCGCCTGTTGTTGTGGTCGCTCCGATCGATCGCTCCGTGTCATGGTGGCTTCGTTTCGTGAAAGAGGGAGGCGTCATGGTCATCGGTCGATCGATCCGCCGAACGGAAGCTCCTGTCATCAATCCGTCGAACGGCTGCCGGTGCCACTACCAACCAAACGAGAGGAGCCTGTCATGGTGTTGAGTAGTAGCCTTTGTTAAGAGGAGTAGCCGCTATAGAGGAGTAGCATCATCTTGATAGAGTCAATAGAGAGTAAAGATAGAGGTATCGAACGGAATAATGACAACAAAAGGAGGATACGAGTGGCTTGGGTCGATCGATCCCAGCACATCAGTTCAAAATGAAGGATTTGCCGTCTAAGGTCTGGCCGTGGTTGGGCAAATTCTGGTCGATTTCATCAAAAAATGGTGTTTACCTGGCCCAAAGGCGAAATTTAAAGCAAAAAAAGCTGAAATAGCGAAATTTAAGGCAAAACAAAGCTGGATCTTGGGGTAGCCACGGCCAGACCTTAACCGGCTCTTGAACTGATGTGCCAGTGATGTCAGTTGAGATTAAGGTTAAGGCTGTATATGGCTCTTAAGTCTTTTCGATGAACGTTCCAAGAGGTTCCGGTTCGCATTCCAATGTCTTACCGGGAGCGGGCTTGCGTTTGTCTCGATAGCTTAGATTCAGCCTGTACTCTTTGGCCCTATTCAAAAGAGCCAAAGTAAATTGCACGAGCCACCCCCAGACCCCCTTCTATGTTTAAATCGTGAGGTGACCTCACGAATGGATGTGTTGGAAGGTGATGATGTGTTTCCGTTTAACCCTCTCCCTAAGGACCACAAAAATGAGACCGGTCCACAAAAATGAGGGCAGAGCGCCTTTTTATTTTGATCTACCTCCCATCACTCTTCCGCTGCTTCTACTGCTACAGAAACGGAGCTCTAGCCAGCTAGCGAGAATGCTGTCAAACACCATGACTGCAGTTACTACATGTAGTATGGTTGCCCTACTTCCACTATCAGTGGCTGTCCTACTGCTGTCGACTTGTGGCATCCTTCCAACAACGGCAAAAGCCAACGAAAAATGGGAGAATCCTCATCCACCCATTCCTCTTTGGCCCGACGGGCGGATCCCCGGAGAACGACCGGGCACCATTGGAAAGGAACAAGTCACATGTCGATACCGAAACAAACCCAACGAACCATGCCGGGATCGGACCATTACCAATGTCACGTTCTCCACGTTGACTCCATTTCTGGTCGCACACAGTGATGCCGCCGTGATTATTGCACCCGGTGGGTCCTACCATGACCTGGCGTTTGATTTGGAAGGCACGGATATTGCTCGTTGGCTGACACAGTCGGTGGGCATTTCGGCATTTGTATTGAAATACCGTGTTCCCGAACGACCTTGGCTACCCTTTGGAGCGGCGCCACTGATGGATGCCCAACGGGCCATGGGTGTGGTACGAAAAATGGCGGGGACAACGTTGCTTCCGCAGTTGAACAAGTCCAAAGTGGGATTCCTGGGATTCTCGGCGGGGGCTCATTTGACCGGACACCTCAATGTCGCATGGGATCATCGCATCTACCAGCCTCATGACTCGGCCGACCAAGAATCCTGCAGACCCGATTTTTCCATCATGGTCTATCCGTGGAAGAGTGTCTCGCAAGAACCCGTCCATCAACCCAATGCCACGGCACTCCAAATTACCAATCAAACTCCTCCAACACTGCTGATTCAAACAGAAGATGATCCCGTGCATGTCGAAAACTCCATCTATTACTATCTAGCATTGAAACAAAAGGGAGCTGCGCCTTCCGAACTGCACGTTTATCCACGTGGTGGACATGGCTATGGAAGGTGTTCCAATTTGATGGCGGCAACAAAGGAAACAAATAGTTCCAGAATACCGCACACATATGAGGTTTGCTCGTGGCCGGATCGAGCTCATGCCTTTTTGAAAATGCTGGGTGTGGTACCCCAATACGGTATGCGGCTGCAGATGATGTCGTTACGACACAATGATCCACTGCAAGAGCAATAGATTACGATGGGAAGCCCATGTCTATCCTGGCTTGGCTCTGATTCCAAACTATCCCTGTCCTACATGTGTTTGCAAGCACCAAGGTAGGTTGGGGTTTGAATACGGTAGCATCCCTTGTATGAATGAATCCAATTGTGATGTATGTACTTCACAACCACTCAAGTTTGATAGTCTAGCGACTACTGATGGTTGATTCGGTCCCCAGCCAAATACTTACGGATAGACTAACATTCACATACAATGCATGTATATTCCAAGGATCACCACTGATAACTGGTTGTCATACAACTCCAGCTCGGCTAATGTGGTCAGCAACTGGACCTCCGATGGAATGCGTTCGTGTGCACTCAACCTGATCAGCGCAGTCTACAAGCCTCTGCTGGATTGATACCACCCAAGCGGTTGTGATACAACCCAATGTTGACAGCAAGTTCAGCAGTTGAATCTCAGGTAATGCCGTGTTGGTCCCCAGTTTGCCCCCCTTGATCCCACGGAACCTACCGCAAGATTTGAGTGCAGGCTAGCTACTCCGGATAGTCCCCAAGTCCGCCTCTTCTTTGCCTAAGCCTTGCCCCCGATAAAGCTTCCCTACTCTGTAGAACCCTTACTTTTTATGAGCTCCCTCCTGTTTGTACCTGTGTGCACGGTTGCTTGTGCTTGTCACCGGGCATGTACTGTATCTTTAGATAACTGCTCCTTTTTGTGAGTAACAGCTGGGTCTTTGTTCCGTAAAAGAGCACACGCACAGACATAGGGGCTTCCCTCAGGGATTATTGCCATTTTGAACAAGGAACGTGACGTGGAAGAAAACTGGCGACTGCAACAATGACACAACCAAAAAGAAGTTTGCTGCGCTCTGATTCTTAAGACTCCTTGTAACAGCTCTCATCAAGAACAAAGTAAATAAATTATCTTGTATTGATGACACTGGGCAGGTGGCAAGCTCGAAAAGACGGGAGAGAAAAGCTACAGCAGAGACAGCAACGGCCTCAGTACCATACAAGAAACTACATACTACATTAATTGTAGCATTTTCTAGCTAGCTAGGTACGAGACGACCACTCCTCTCGCTTCTCAATCTCCTCCAAACTCAAAGGGGCGACACAACCTTTCAACCACCACCTGCCGAACGAAGAATCCACGGCCCGAGACGGGGAACGGCAAAACAACCATCTACCGTAGGTTCCCAAGGCACTGTTGCTTCATCCACTCGTCAATCTCAGCGCCTCTAAGATGACCCATTTCTTGAATGGCAGCTTCTTGCACTAAATGGACGGAACTCCCCAGCAGATCCTCTTGAGGAGATTCTTGATACTAGTACCTTTGCGGACAAGGTCGAGAAGCTTGCAATGGCGGCAATTGTAAATCGGCCGGGCTGTTAAAGTTAGAGGTGTTCTTGCGCCTGCGCTCTTCCTGAATTGGATGGGAATACTGTGAAGATCAACAGCTTTATTGAGGTACTAGTAGGGGATGCAAAGTCACAATGGAATTGTGTGGGACTGACTTTAATGTGGACCAGGATTCACGTCCCATAAACGATAGCTTTGGGATGAAGGTGCTTTCTTCAACGGTGGCAACACCTTTAGGCTTGCAGTTCCTGCTGCCTACTAGTATGTCATTGACTCTGATGGAAGTGTGCTGTGGACCCACGCGGATGCTGACTATAGCAAACGCGCAAACCCAGAGGACATCTTGGAGGCGATCCCTGGCGACTAAACCCCAGCTGTTGAGGGCTCTTCGTGGTGAAGAAAGCATGGAGCGAAAGATGCATCCAGGATTCTCAATTATTCTGACCCTCACCACAAGGACGCTCGCCCACTCAAGATGAAACCTAAAAAGGAAGTTAGTCTTTCACACGACGACTGTGGTCAGTCCGAAGCAAGAAACCGCAAGCATTGGCAAACGCTGGCTAGCTAGCTATTAGAGGCCAATGAAGTTCATTGTTTCTGTCATTTTTATGTTTTTAAGTCTGAACTAAATTTAGGACAATGCGGAGGGCGTCCGAGGCTTACCGCTACATTCGACCGCCAGAATAACACACCGCCAAATTGATTCTTCATAGTTCGATTTCTGCTTGGTGTAATCTTGTCCCTCTCCTAAGTAAGCTAAGATAGGCTGCTCTCCCCAGTGATTTGCAGGTCCATATGTTTGATAGAACACAGGTAGGTTATAGTCAGAGCTGAAAATACGCTCGACGTGTCAAAAGGCTGTATTTTTCAAAGATCCATCTTGTTCCTGTTCATGACTGTGCCTATTTCGAGACGACAGCCGCCGACATGGGCTCGGGTGTAGAAGCACTGACTTCCCGGCAAGGTTTCTTGGTCGCAGGAGGCTTGACTCCATCTTCGTTCTTCACATCACCGGCGTGGAGCCGCTTTGCACCGGTTGGTTCAGTGGAGGTAGATGCATCCAACAGGGGATTGGCCACGACACCCTTCCCGATGGGAGTCACCGAAGCGGCCTCCTTGGATGTCGCAGTGCCCTGCGGCGAGACACCCACATATTGTGGCACTGTTCCAGCAGGAAGCAAGACACCAGCTTGAACCAGTGCCGCCGCGCTTCCATAATGGATGGTGATGGTTTCCAAAAGCTCTCCAGGTTTGTACGTGGGGCACTCCTCTGTGATCTTTTGCTCAAAACGAGCCTTTCCCTCTCGCGACCGCAACACTGGAACCGGTTCCATGATGCGCAGAGTTTCTTCAAGCTTGCTGGGGTCATTGGGTGAACCCGTCGCATCCTTTTCTTTCGCATCAGCCCCATTGGCGGTGCCAGTTTCTTCTTCCTCTTCGTGGAGCGAAGACGCGGCAGAGACGGGAACAGCAGCTTCGGTTACAACTGTTTCCTCCTGGGTGAGGGCTGGAATGGCGCTGTACACACGCTTCTGACGCCCTGTGAAAATGGCCTTGGATACTTGTACCTGCACATTGCCCATGTGCAGAAGCGGTGGCCCAGTCTTGCCGGGTGTAGTCTCAGAGGAGGATTCTTTTCCTTTAGCAGCGTTGCCCGAAGCCAAACCAGCACCTGAAGTGGCTTCCTTGTTGTTGTTGGGGGCAGCTGTTTCGAACTTGAGGGCTTGATTAGCGCCAATACCATTGATGTAGGTCCACAAACCAACATCCCGAGCTCCTTGTGAATTGGTCAAATTCGTGTAAAAACCTAGATCTTTACCGTCGACGCACGGACGGAAATAATACATGATTTCGGACTGCGTGTCCACGCTGCTCTCCTTGGTCTTGTCGTCCTTTGCCTTGTCCTTTGCCTTGTCGTCCTCTGCCTTGTTGTCTTCCTCCCGTAGCACCTGGAAGCGTAGAAAGTATTCACCACCTGGCTTTGCCTCTGCGTAATGAACGGCTCCACTAGGGCCACGGTACTCCTTCAGAGGCTGCTGCGACTCCGCGTCGATGAGATGCAGGGAGAATCCACCTTGTACAACCATGTTTGGATTTGCTGTGAATAGAGAAGAAAAAACTGAAAGAAAAACTGCTTGTCTCCGGAGACAAACAAAGAAATCAACGAAAGAGAATGGAAAAGGCGAGATACGCTGATGAGCTGATGCTTTTAAAGCTGGCAATGGCAATGGCAACAACTGGCTGATGAGAGTGTGATGAGTCGTTGGCTGCCGCGATGATGTTGCCTGCTGTTCGTGTTGGCCACAAGATCTGAAGAACGAAGAATGTCTTCCGTTTCATAAACATGTGACTTCTTGGCTGTGCAATAAATCGATTGTTCACCAAAATCTGCTTTTCTAATTGGCTATGACTCTTTGACGGCGCTTTTTACAGCTCCAGTCAAGAGAGGAAACAATCTTTAATTCTCGCTTCCGGTACCTTCCATGTTCTGTCACCCCTGCTTGAAAATCTGTCGCCGAGATCTATTAAAAAATAAATAGAGTCGAGTCGAGAGACCTACCGGTACCGGTAAAGGTACCGGTACCAGGATGGCATCCTGTACTTCTCAGCTTCTCAGTACGTTTCTCTTGAATTAGCAAGCAGCAATCTGTCGAAGTAAGTCGGGGGCGAATATCACTTGATCATTTCCAGTAACAATTGGCGCTCGACGGACAAGAGAAAATAGAAGTGTAGTAGAACGGAATGCGAGCAAATCCCTCCATTTTTTGCTAGAGTGACTAAACCCCATAATTACATCATTACCGTCTAGCTAGGTCTCCAGTTGCACAGCATCCGATTCCGATGCATAGACTGCCCAGTTGAAGCTTTGACGGCGGGTTACCCAGTCATAATCTGGCACTGCGGTGGTGGTGAAGGACCTTCTGCAAAAGTTCTCTGGATTTAGGGGCCCCGTCATGGGCAAGGGCAAGGTTTCGGCATTTCTATCCTGTCTTCGTCGTCGCCTCGACTTTCCTCCTTCCATCGCCAGCAAGTTTGAACATGACTTGCCTACCTTCTTGGTGCTCTTCATCTGTTGCCTCCTGTCGTCCATACCCAATTCAAATCTTCGATCCACGCCTGGCATTGATTTCGTCCGGGCCATAGATGGCCTTTCAGGTGGAGCTGGCTCTGAATCAGGAACAGTGTCTTCTTGAGCAAAAGACTGTTCACTGTCGGAAGAGTAAACATTATTCTCATCGTCCAAAGAATCTGGCTTGTGCAAGCTCCAATCGTACAACGCCTTGCTAGCTGGCTTCTTGAAAAAGTCTGAGCATGACTTGCCAACCTTCTTGGTCCTCTTCATTTGTTGCCTCCTTTGTTCCATATACTCTTCTTGAAGCCTTTTATCCATGCCTGACAATGTGCCGGTTTCTTCTGGCATTTCATGAGGAGATGGTTTCAAAGCAGGATCCAATGATGTTGCTACCTCTGGCGTTTCAGGAGGAGCTGGTTTCAAATCAGGAACTGGGTCTTCTTGTACAAAGGATTGCTCAAGGTCGGAAGGGTCGGAATTGTGCCTACTCCAATTATAGGATGCACTTCTGGCTGTAAGCCCGCGCAAGTTCGAGCTTCTGGTTCTCCTCACTTCCCGCCTCTCTTGCATGTCCTCCGGACGCCTTCTGTCCAGGCGTGATAACGATTTCGCGCGGTGCAAATCTCTGCGTGGTGCAGAAGGCACAGATGATTCGGGAAGTGGTTCTTCCAGTGAAAACGAACATTCGCTTTCGGAGGAGTCAGAATCAATTGCGTTCCAATCACAGGATCCTACAGAGGGCCGGGAATCTGTGTCACAGGAAGAGTCCTCTTCTTGCTGCATGGCCCAATCGAGAAGGCATTCCGTCGTCGGGTTCGTAAACCCGTCGTCGTCGTCATCATCATCATCGTCAAGCAGAGACGACGTCGAAGCTGTGCCCCACACGGCCGCTGAAGGATCCGCATCAGCATTCGGCTTTACATCAGCATTGAGTTGGGTGCTCAAGCTTTCTTCATCCGCATCCTCACAACTGTCTTCGTCGGCGTCAGACACCTTTGGAGGCGTTTTGGGTTTGATGCGATTTTCCAGGTCAATCCAATCTACAAGCTGAAAGCTGCTTTCACTCGCCCCAAAATCTGGTTCAATCTCGGGCGAATCGTATTTGAGGCCTGTGATCACATTATCCAAGAACTCTACCATTTCAGTTTGTGGCTGAAGTAGATTATGAGCCGCCATTGTTGGGTCAGAATCACGATTGCTACCGATCGAGCGGGATCGTCGAAGCTTCCGTCGGTTTTGATCGCTCACCATGTTGGAAGAATCAACCTTGGTGCTAGATCGTGAAGGTCTTGGTTGTCCATCATCGCACAGCATTGTCAATTTTGCAACGCACTCATCTCCCATGGTGCTCGATCGTCGCAGCTTTGGTCTCCCGCCGACAATGCTTCGTTTCGGGGACTGTGTCCTGGACACTGGAGTAATAGCCAGGGACTCTCGTTTCGCCAAGGCATTTCCAAATCGACTCGAGAAGGATTCATCTACGCTTTTGGATTTTCTCATTCGTCGGTTAATTCTCTGTGGGGTAAGATTGCGGGAGATGGGCGTAGTGTGTGATGGTTTTGATTCGGAGAAGCTACCGCGTCGCTTTGGCTTGGACGGACTAGCCGACGGGTGACCCATAGAGTTAGCTCGTCGCAAAGATCGCTTGACAGGCACGTTTGCTGGTGTCTCGGATTTCTTCTGTGAACCCCTTTGAGAGGAAGAATTGACGTCGGAGCTAGTAGACGAGATAGCACCTCTTTTGAGACCTGCGCCCATGGATGAACTTCGTTGTATTTTTTTGCGTGCTGCAGGGCTTTTAAGACCATGACCCATCGATGAGCTCCGTTGCACTTGGCGAGGTGGATTGGGGTTGCGTTTAGGGCTTCTGGCACTATTATTATTGCCAATCGATGAGCTTCGTTGCACTTGGCGTGGTGGATTGGGGCTGCGCTTGGGGCTTCTGGATCTACTACCTCTCCGTTGCACTCTGCGCGGTGGAACGGAAGATGCGTCTGGAGCACTGGAGAAGACAGCTTTGGAGGACTCCATCTTTGCCCGATCATTCGCATAATTGTTTTCTTTTTCTGCCAACAAGCTTAGTACTTCCTGTTCAAAATCGCTCGTAGAGGGTGCTGCCGCCCGAAAAGAGCCTGCCGAAGTAGTTCGTCTGATTCTACTCCGATGGGGTAGAGGAGAGAGTGCCGGTAATGTAGGTGGTTTGCGCATTGCATTTGTGGGACCGGAGAGCCTCGTTCGGGTGGCACTATAACTTCGACTCATGTGGCGGCTGCTGCCGTCCAACTCTTCTTTGCCGGCTGGTTGATGATCATCCAAAGTCCCCGTAGAGCTGCAGCGCGCTCCCTTGCGGAGCGGAGGCGGGAATTTAGGTGGTCTGCGCACAATGTGTGCGGGTGCAGCCCTGGATCCGTGACTGCTGTTGCCCATGCTGTGTGCGCTATTTCGGTCCAAGTCGTGTTCCCAATCAGGACTCTGTATCATGGACGAAGCTGCTCGAACGGCCGTACTGGCCGAGCTGCAGCGTCTGACCCTGGGAGGAGAAAAGGAATGTGTTGTGTTGTTGTTGCTTCGCTGCATGGACCCATCCATCGTGGAACGACCGGACCCGCCCAAGGAAGGACGACTGCCGCCCATACTGCTGTATCGCTGCAAGGGTGAGGGCGCGGAAACCCTCGTGCGGGGCATGGATCCGTCCATCATGGAACGACTGGAACCATTCATCATGGAACGACCAGAGGACCCACCCAGGGAAGGACGACTTCCGCCGCCCATACTGACACAAGAACGAAAACTGTCATCGTCTAGCTCCCCCATGAGTTCCCGTTCCCAATCGGTCTGCATGAGGGATGCTCCAAGCGCTGTACTGGCCGAGCTGGACCGTCTCGGAGTGGATCTGGTGCGCATCAAATGTGCCGGTGCAGAAATCCTTGCTTGGGGTGCTGAGTTGTTGCTGTTGTCCATGAGGAAACTGTCGCGACGACTACGTCTTCCCATGTCGTGGCTGCTGTGCCGGCCCAACGAATCTTCGTTATTGCCTTGATTGTGTGAATCGCGTTGATGAATCATGCGCCGCATTCCCTGTCGCATGGCGTTGAGCTTTTGACGCGATGTGTATCCCTGAATGGCCGGTTTGGCGGCCACTTGCCACCGGACATCGGACTTTCTGCTTGGAGTTTTCGACACGTGCCCCGTGGAACGAGATCGTTCGACTTTTCGAGGCGGCTGTGGCGTATTGTTGTTGTTGTTGTTGTGGGTGCCAGCAAACTCTTCGTCGTCGGAATCGGAAATGATGCTCGCGTCATCGTCATCGTCGTCGTCCCCTTTTCCCTCGTCTATATCCGGCTCCAAAATTTCTTCCGGCGTCTCCGTCGGGCTTGCCGTAAATTCGTCGTCCCCGTCCTCTTCGGCCATTCCCTGGAGTCGCACAATACATGCTTGCAAGACGCGGATGGAGCGCTGCTTATTCTTGGTCAATGTGACGAACGTCTCGGAGGTTGCTTCGTCTGTAGTGTTGTTGTTGTTGTCGTCCCTTCCCTTGTCACTCACACTGCCTGCACTACTAGTATTCGTAGGAGTGCCCGTACTAGTAGTAGTGGTCGTGGCTTGATTCCCTGAAGCCCCATGGTACATGATTCGGAGCATGATGGATTCCCTCAAATAGCCATTGCGACAAAGACTAAAAATTTCCCGTGGAACATCCCATGGTACGAATCCAAATAGCGCCCCGTCGAATTCGACCCCGTGCAATTGTTTCCCTTCTTCCACGGCAGCATCACTGTCCATGATCATTTCGAGTTGACTGATGAGTTGACTGTACGGAATTCCCCGTTGAATTTCCAAAATACACTGAAATTGAATGGTAATGTGTCGTTCGTAGGCATCCAAATGGATCAATCGCCACAAATCCCGTTGCAATCCCAAATACCGATCCAACCGTTCGGATGAATGCACGTGATCCACAAAGCGCACGTAGCTCCACGGTCGCACATTGTGTTTGGGATCGGCAATCAGTACGTCGCGAGCGTGCAAAAACATGGTCTGGTCTTCCCGTTCCAACAAGTCTTCCAATTCCAATTGCACAATTGTCGGCGTCGTTTGGACCTTTTGCATGCGGGCCAGTGTATGTTCGGTACTGACAATCACATCACTGCAAAAAATATTGAGGCTCGTGCTGGGCTCGACCGGAGGTTTTCTCCAAAAGGCCGTCCGAATGGCGCCCACAAACCCCGACGATGTTCGTTGGACCGTGTGCCGAATGCTGCGTTTGCGGTGGATGCCAGTCGCCGTGTGGTTGCTGCTCCCGCCGCTGTCATCGTCCACGGCGACCCGTCTGCTGGGCATCGACCCGCCGCCCAAGATATGCGCCGAGGATCGGGTGCGCTGTAGTAGCATGGTCGTCGTTGTGTCAACGTTACGACAAGCTTGGTTTGTTGGTTTGTTTGTTTGTTCAACTGAATGACATTTAGTTTCAGTTCTTAGTTACAGCGTGGTTAGTTGGGAAAGCTGTGGGAAGCCGCAGGAAGAGACCACCCAGCCGCTGCACTTCTTTGACCACTCGGACTCAACAATGACCACACACGGACTAAACGAGAATTGGTACAGTACTGAGTAGGAACGTAGCGCTAGTAGGAACTGGTACGAAGTCATTCACTCAGTAACCAGCCGCTTCAACAGCGGTCACCAAGTACACCGAGCGACGTCGAACCACGGCTGATTTATTAGCCTTTTCAGGAACAGCTGAAAGATTTACAAGATAAATGAGACGCCCCCGTGCTTCACCACCAAGAATCTGAGTAAAAAGAAGTGCTTTTTCTTCCCGCTGAGAATCTTGGTTAATTGTTAACCATTCGCCATTACCGCAAGTACGACCATTCTAGTCGGATCCTAAGTCCTTGACTGAAACTTTCTGTCGTTGCCAGAGCAAAGGTAAAGTCAGTACCAGCAATGTACAGTATTTTCCTATAGTCCAATGACTTGGACTTTTACAACAGTCACAGAGCTGTCAGTGACACAATGGCCCTCGACAAATTTATGCTGCTCTTCCCACAGAACACCAGAACCACAGAACAGGAAGCCACATTATCTGTGATTGAGGGTTCCACGGCACCACGACAGACTCCCTGCCCAGAGCCTCACCAGGAACTAACTAAACTGGTATTGGTGCTCGACCACCTTCGGAGTTTCTATCTTTAGCATACATCAAGCCAGAGAAGGCAGTCGCCAGAAATAATGTGGACACCGGTACCTTTGGTCATGATGAGGATGAGGCTACTAGCTAGCTAGTACCGTACCGGATCAAGCGGAAGCACTATATTGTAGCAAGCTGACAGGGCGAAAGCGGTAGAAGGCAGAAATCTGATTGGCTAATCAACCTATGACATCAGCAAATGAGTCGGCGAAATTCAAATATACTTAACGTACCATTTATAGATATTACGGAGTTAGTGTGCTACCTTGTTGCTGATTTTCCTTTGGAAGGAAAAGAAACAGAGGATTCCGTGGAAGCAAGCTCGATTGATCGACAATGACATGCTGCCGCTGCCGCTCCGACAAGTCATTATCTCAGCCAAAAGCAGCACCATCATGACCGGAACAGCAGCAGCAACAGCAGCAGCAACAGCAGCAGCAGCAGCAACAACAACAGCCACAACAACAGCCAATGGAGAAGGGATGGGCTGCCAAAGTCAGAATAGGAATTCGCAGCAGAAGAGAGCATATCAACTCGCCTCCAACAACATCAACAAAAGATTGAAGAGGCAACATGGACGATTCATTTGAGTCTGACATTCCAGATCTGATAGCTGCAGAAACTATCGATCAATTACTACAACTTGGAGAAGATGATCTCAGTGATACCGGTATCAACAACCAAATCCAGCCAATGGTAATGGCTGAAGCAAACATATACTTTACAGATCCAAGAGACCAAATGATTGATGCTCTCAACAATCAGGTCACTGTTCTTCAGAACAGAGTATTGCAGCTGGAAACAACTCTCAACAACCTGATTCAATCGCAACAAACACCGAATGGTGAATCCACTGAGGCAACCGAAAATTATGCACCGATAGCACCAAGACCAACAGCAGATGCATTGTTGCAGCAGCAGGTTCAAATTCAAACGATACAGCAGCAGATCACGATTCTCCAAATGCAGCAGCAAACAATGCTTCTAGCTTTTTCATCACCAAGAGGATGCTGCTTACCATACATCTACTGGTTGAGCAGAAGGGTTGGTCGTCCTCCTCATGATGCGAATTGCCGATACAGATTCCATGGATATGCTACAATGCACTAGTTACCAAGAGCCTTGCCCCTACCTAAGTAGGCGCTGACTTCAAGACAAAATAACGCATCAATCAAGGGAGTAGTAGTAGTAGTAGTTGTTGTTGTTGTACCGTTGTCCGTTGCTTCACCATAATGCCAAGAGCCTTGCCCCTACCGAAGTAGGCACTGACTTCAAGGCAAAATAGTGCAGCAGTTGTTGTTGTTGTTGTTGTTGTTGTAGCGGTAGCGGTCGTAGGAGCGGTAGGGAGTCGGCCGTCATCGGCAACAGGAGCGCCATGGTCGGTGTTGTTGTTGTTGTTGAAGTTGGAGTGGGAGGGTTTGGTTGGAGCAAAGGATGGGAAAAGAGCAGATTTCGTTTGAATTCCTGTGACGTATTTGCTGACATATACATTGTTCTTCGGATGTAGGAGATTTAACGGAGGAGGGGCCGATGACCAGGTCATTGCCATTTCCCCTCTTTATTGTATGTACTTCGTGTCTCTTCTTTGCCCTGCAGGCTCCCGATTCGGAATCAGGAATTCAAAGGTTAACCCTCTCCTCTTCTTCTTCTTTTTCCCTCCCCCGCGCTCATGCCTAACCCCCCCTATATCTCGCTAGTGGCAACCTGGCACCTACAGGCAAGTCTGAACTTTTTCTCTTCGCGGAAGCACCTACCGATATTCCCCTCAACAGAACAGATGAACTCCCCCGATGCAAAACACATCAGAGTCCAGGCCCCCAGCCATCCAATTGAGCAAACTATCTGTCGGTGGCCCTAAACAATAGTAGCACTGGCCACAGGCAGGTCATCTGTATCCTCTTCATCATGGCTGACCTCAGCCGATGCCACTGGAATGGTGACAATTGTGGCCGTGGCCACTGGAATGTCACGAGGCCCTCCATCCGTGGCAGAGGGAAACGATTCCGAAACATCAAATCCCAGCTCCATCAGACGACGCTTGTAGGCAGCAAGGGAATGCCATGGTCTCTCGCTGGGACGTCGTCCAATGACTCGCACCTGCTTTCGGGCAGCATCCAATTGCCCTGTCAGGATCAAACAATACAAAAAATAATTGCGACTGGCCCACTCTTGGCTCAGCGCCGATGCCTCGGTGGATTGGGCGGTCTCGCTGGCTCTGGGGAAAGCGTGCCGATAGGCGCCATAGATTTCTCGCACCACTTGGGCGCGGCGCCAATACCCCGGGGTGGGCTGAATCAAGTTTCGTTCGTAATGCGCCATGGGGATGAGGACCCACAATGGATGGCCCTCGGGCAAGCCCGTTGTGATATTGTACGCATATTGGAACATGCGCTCGTGGCTGCCATGCCATTTGCGACAGTAGTATTGTAGGGCTCGTGTATGGGCGGTGTAGCAGCGTGGTTCTGCCGTCTGCTCTCGCAAGCCCTTTTCGCAATCTTCCATGGTCACGTTGCCATTATTATTTCGGCCAAGACCTTTGGCAATCGTCATTCCCATGGCGTACAATAGTGGATCGGTGCTGCAATAGGGTTTGGCCTGCACGAATTCATTGGCGGCTTCCAACAGTCTCTTGTGAAAGACGGCAGCCCGTTGCTGGGACACCGCGGCCGCCAAGGCGCCGGTACGAGCATTCCAAGCCCAAGCAATGTACGTTTCCAATCGCAGGATGCGACAGTCCACGTTGTCGGGTTCATTTTCCAGCCATTCATCGAGCAGGCGACTCATACTGGCAGTTTCATCCACCTGGGTAGACCATGCCTTGGCGATTTCTTTTTCGACCACTGTCATCCAAAAGTAGCGTTGGTGGCTGTTGCGACTGCTAGGTTCTCGCAGAGAGCGAAAGTAATCTCGAATGGATTGCCAATTTCCATTAATGACGTTGGTCCTTAACCGAGTGGCAGTTTCAGGAGATTTTTGGGAGGCGTCGAGGAACTGGAAGGTTGGATGATCCGGATCGGGAATGGATTCGCAAGCTGCTGGGCGTTGATGATGCTGTATTGTCATCATTTCTTGTTCCGAAATGGCCGTCAATTGCACGATTTCCAATTGACCTGTCCGTGGGTTGATTTGACGGCGGTAGCGTCTCCTTCGGGCTCCCGGGGCGGGCCTTCGAGAGAGCCCCGCGAAAAAGCGAAGGAAGCAATAACCAATCACAAATGCAAAGAAAATCAAGTTTCCGATGATGGCAGCCACGTCGTCGTCGTTGTTGTTGCTGCTGCTGTGGTGATTGCTGTTGTAGTGATTGTTGTTGCTGTAGTGATTGCCATGATAGACGTAAGAGGGCTCAACGGAGGCTTTCTTTGTGCCTTCACAAGCAGTAATTCTCTTGTAGCCAGTGTCAACGTTGGAGCAGTCCATCATGAATCCATCTGCTTTGTCACCAACATGAACAACAATTCCGTGGTTACAAAGCCCTGATGGATAGTAGACACAACTACTGCAAGTTCTGCCCCTGAACGAAGCAGTGCAAATCGTCAAGGGACCCAAGGTACCTCGAGTGACGCAAATCTTCGCAAGTGCACCCAAGGCAACATTGGGATCCTGAAAGCACTCGCTGAATTTCTCAAAGGAGTCTCCAGAAGGATCAGTAACTTCCGTCGTCACGTTGCTTGTCATCGTCTCGTCCTCTCTCGTCGTGGATCTAGCTAGCTACGTAGCTACAGCTGTGCGGATAGACGTTGTCTTCTTTGCCCTCTGATGAGGGAGGCGCAGAGGTGCATGAAGAGGATCCAAAGTGAGCAATCCACGACAGAAAACCCCCGCCTCCCAAATTTGTCGGTGGGAGGAGGGTTTTTGGCCGTTAAAGCCTGAAGAGCCGTCAAAACAAGTCTCGTTTGTCTCATTTCAGAACCAAAGACAAAAAGAGGAAGGGCGCCAATTGATTGAATCAACCTGCAGCAATCAGCCCTCGGTCTTTTGCTCTAGTCTGTAGCTAGCTAGATTACGAGTGGTTCTGGGTACGACTTTCTTTTATTCTTATTTACTTCTCGTAGTTTTGAGCTTTTGGCAGCTGCGGATCGCGGGCAAGGAACACAGCACCGCTCATTTTGATGTCTAAAAAAAAGCCAGGCTACGGTATGCCTAGACACAGAATCCTGTTACTTGTCCGGCTGTAATCGAGCAACGGCACCCGGAAGAGCAACCTCCAAGCAAACTACAACCACCGCCGCATGGTGTGGGTGTGGGACCCGTGCCGGGACCGCCGCTCCCACCAAATCCACATTGGCCGCCACCACTGCCGCATATGCCTCGGAACCCATTGATGGGTACGGCCGAAAGGCAGTAACAGCTGGTGCACTCCTCGCCATCATTACAGAGGCTTTCATCTTCTTTTTTGTTGGTGCATTGGCCAGATGATTTGCAGTAACCACAGCAATCGCTGTGACTGCTGCAAGATTCTCCCACAGCGCCACTCAGGCCTCTCATCTTGGGAGTGGTATGGCCCGCACTCCAGAGCCCCTCCAAACAGGTGCTGATGGGATTGAGATCCAAGGGGATGTCTTGCAATGCCTTTTCGTTACAATAGAACCAGGCAAACGAGCCAATCTCCTCTTGGCAGCCACCTTGCTCCGCGACATCTGCCAATGTAACTTCTTCGCTGCCCACCGTGCCCAAAATGGCTGGTCTCACCGCAAGCACCAAGAATGTCCGAGCCTCCCTTGCTGCAAAGTGCATCAGCGCTTGTCAAAGACAAGACAAGGATAGCAAGTGCAAATGTAAGTCTGGACGATGGTGCCTTACTGATGCGCATTCTCTTGGTGGCTGGCTGGGGTCCTCATGTAGAAATATGCCGCAACAGCAGTGACAAACACTTGTAAAAAGATAAAGGGAACAGTGAAGAGAGACTCGAGCGCCAAAACAAGCGCAAAACCCAGCAGCGTCAAACCAAGCAGTACGGCATGCGCCGCTACGCTCAGAACCAATGAATCGAACCAAGTAGCAAGGCGGAAACCTTGAGAAATGTATCTGGGCATGCCACTGTCTTCGTTGACGTTGCAAAAGCCGGAGCCAGACAACCCGGGATGGTGACAGACCAGTCGAAAGGGTGCAATGGCCATGCTCACAAATAAATGCATGCTGAGACATGACATGAATGCCTCCGCTAAGTTCCACATACTCTTGCCCCTTGCTGGGTTGCAGAGACACATATGTCGACGCCCTGATTCCATCCACAACAATGGTACGGCTTGGTGTCAGGGATAGAGGCCACCCCTCCACACAAAGCTGATCGTAGCAACCATCGTTGAATGAGATCACTTGTCGTGACAATGGGGTTCACTTGTCTCACAAACCGGTACGGTACGTCTACTACACTAGCTGGACGATCCGGCAATTGGGATTTGTGACGTCAGTTTCACGACTGAATAGAACTGTCGTCAAACGTGCTTGAAATATGATTTAGGCGACAGTTTAGGCGACCGTTGAAAAATAGGCAACAGTTTAGGCAACAGCTAGGATTTAAGCAACCGTTACTAGCATTTAACGGGTTGTTTCTCGAAGCATTAGGCAACAGTTTAGGCAATTGCCTATAAATAGGCAACTATTTAGGCAATCGCCTAGATTTAAGCAACTGACGGTTGCCTAATTCTTCGAGCAACCTTTCAGTCGTGATTCATAACTAGCTAATTGCCGGATCGTCCTGGACTGGCTAGCTAGCTAGCTAGAAAACGAAGTGTTTGGTTTCGAGCATCTCATTTCGATACTGTACCATAGCAATTAGCAATTGCCCGCCATCTTGGGTGGCTATTCCTTCGAGGAAATCCTCATTTAATGCCTCGAGACTTGGATGGTATTAATGAGCCACGTAAGGAAAGGAGGAATTAATTTGGTACACGCAGCCACATAGGCTACTCCAGTCGTGGGTTCCCTTCCTTTCTTTTGAATTGATTTAATTAAATAACGGGGGTTTGGAGTAGGGAAATTATCTATTGATTACGAGTATTTATTTTCGGTCTGAAAGAGGAGGCGATGTGATGCAGGAAAGCCCAACTAAGCTATCTGGTAAACATCCAACAGCTCATCCAACCGAAGTGTTTTTCAAGCCTACACGCCCCACAAACAGGTCGCCCAAGCCAGTATCTTCCACTTCCACGTCTCGTAGAGGTGGGTATCCAAAAGCAAGCTCTCATTATTTTGCTTCGCTGAAGCAGATCCCAGTTCGATATGCTGCTCAAACAGTCTCTCTCGTTGCTGCTGTTTGTGGTGTTGCCACCAGCAATCGCAGCAAGCAATCCTTGTCTTTCCAAGGCTATCACGGAATGCGGCCACATCCAAGTCGGGTCAGCCGTCGTGGCAGACTTGGCAAAGTCGTGTGGCTCTCCTTCCGACGGTACTGTGTGGACCTGGTGCCTTGCACGGGGTGCTCTCGCCCAAAACGAAGTCGTTGTTGCCAGTGAATTGGACGAGGTTGACGCGTGCCTGCAGCGTGTTTCGTGTCAATGCGAGGACTCTGGTCGAGCGAGAAAGCTGCAATCTTGTGAAGAGCCCCCTAATCCTATCTGCTTTTCACAGAAGGCAACTGTGCAAGTCCAGGGAAAAGGAACGATTGCAATGAAGGACTTGAAGGCAGGACAGGACCTTGTGAAGACCCAAGAAGGACAGTACGAGATGGTTTACGCCTTTGCTCACTACTCGCCAGACAGTCATTCTGCCGAGTTCTTACAGATATTTACAAGTTCGAACGCTCCATTGGAGATTTCGCCTCATCATCTCGTGTTCCTTCGAGGCAAATACAATCCAGTGACGGCCGATTTGATTGTGGTGGGAGATGAGCTTCAGACTGGCGACACCAGTGTTGGAGCTGTGGTTACCAAGATCAGCTCTGTGTGGAGGCGTGGCCTCTATACACCCCTGACACCGAGCGGTACTGTTGTTGTGGATGGAATCAGGGCGTCGACTTATGTGTCTCTACAACCCGGCAAGGGGCAAGAGTATGTGGAACTTAGCGGAGGCATTCATGTCATGTCTCAGCATGCATTTGTGAGCATGGCCATTGCACCCTTTCGACTGGTCTGTCACCATCTCAGGTTGTCTGGCTCCGGCTTTTGCAACGTCAACGAAGACAGTGGCATGCCCAGATACATTTCTCAAGGTCTCCGCCTTGCTACCTGGTTCGATTCATTGGTTCTGAGCGTAGCGGCGCAGGCCGTACTGCTCGGTTTGACGCTGCTGGGTTTTGCGCTTGTTTTGGCGCTCGAGTCTCTCTTCACTGTTCCCTTTATCTTTTTACAAGTGTTTGTCACTGCTGTTGCGGCATATTTCTACATGAGGACCCCAGCCACCAAGAGAATGCGCATCAGTAAGGCACCATCGTCCAGACTTACATTTGCACTTGCTATCCTTGTCTTGTCTTTGACAAGCGCTGAGGCACTTTGCAGCAAGGGAGGCTCGGACATTCTTGGTGCTTGCGGTGAGACCATTTTGGGCACGGTGGGCAGCGAAGAAGTTACATTGGCAGATGTCGCGGAGCAAGGTGGCTGCCAAGAGGAGATTGGCTCGTTTGCCTGGTTCTATTGTACCGAGAAGGCATTGCAAGACATCCCCTTGGATCTCAATCCCATCAGCACCTGTTTGGGGGGGCTCTGGAGTGTGGGCCATACCACTCCCAAGATGAGAGGCCTGAGTGGCGCTGTGGGAGAATCTTGCAGCAGTCACAGCGATTGCTGTGGTTACTGCAAATCATCTGGCCAATGCGCCAACAAAAAAGAAGATGAAAGCCTCTGTAATGATGGCGAGGAGTGCACCAGCTGTTACTGCCTTTCGGCCGTACCCATCAATGGGTTCCGAGGCATATGCGGCAGTGGTGGCGGCCAATGTGGATTTGGTGGGAGCGGCGGTCCCGGCACGGGTCCCACACCCACACCATGCGGCGGTGGTTGTAGTTCGCTTGGAGGTTGCTCTTCCGGGTGCCGTTGCTCGATTACAGCCGGACAAGTAACAGGAATCTGTGTCTAGGCATACCGTAGCCTGGCTTTTTTTTTAGACATCAAAATGAGCGGTATTGTCTTCGTCCCTTGCCTTACATGTAAAAATACGTGGTAGATTCATGGGATCCAACATTATTCCCCCCCACCTTGACCGTGTTCTCGAGGTGCTAGAGACCTCCCCAAAGAGATTTTCGACCATGATACCAAACAGTATCCACAAGTTAATTTCTTGCTCTCAATTCCAACGTGTCTTGGATCTTTGTGAGAAATGACGGGCTGTGCCTTGACAAGATCCATGCCCAAGCCGAGGAACGAGGCATGGGTAGCAGCAGTTTTGCACCGCTCTGGTGGGTTCCTTCGGGTAGCCATGTGGGTACCTTCATCCACATTCCCGTATCTCTCTAACCAAGCTAGCTCGTCGTAACTAGCTTAGCAATGATAAACTGTAGAGCCATCCACCGTTTGCAAAAGTCCGATGTGATACATTTACCACTATGTTGTAGCATGGTACTGCCAGCTTGCTAGTCCGTAGTTCGTTCGCAATGGCTGTGTCATCTGCATACCGTACGTGCAGCGATAATAGCAACCCAAAAGACCAAGAGCACTGGGTGCAAATCGGATGGGTGGGACCTACCGGTATCGGTACTAGTACCGGTGTGAGTTGACCCCGCCAGCTACCGTACAGATGCTACAGTATAATGATGCATTACCCAGTCCAAAGAACCTGATGTACAGAAAGTCAAGCCGGTACAACCCCGTTTTGCTACACATAAATATTGTAAACTTTTCTAATTTCTTACTCGTACTGTCGAAGCCACCTCTTGCATTGCTGGTGTTTCCTTGTGGGAAAAATCGCTTTTCCTCTTTTTTTGTGTTGTTGATTGGATATTAATTCTTGCCACGCTCAGCCGAAGCGTGGAGCTGGATGCATTACCACTGCACAATCCATTCCATTTCCACCGCTGTGCTTGCTGCTGGTTTGCATCACCCCTACATATCCACTCTCGGTTCTGATCCGTTTGAAGGCTGGGCGATGATCATTGCTATGATGATTGGTGGGTGAATCATCGTAATCGAAGGAGCGTTTGCTCTCTGCCTTTCGAAACCGTTCCCTGTCCTCCGAGATCAAGTAGGAAATTCCCAAGTCCGCAGTGGTAGCACAGTGCAAATTGATGGACTGGACGAAAAGTCCTGGCTGATAGGCTTCATCCCCACACAGATTGTTGCCAAAGGCGGAAGACCTCCGTTCCATAACGCCTTCGTAGATTTTGACAGTTACCTTGCCCATGTGAAGAATGTCCGTATGAATGGGCACAGCTGATGGATCATTGCTGTCGTCATCCATGGAGGCGGAATCGCTCAAATAATTAATGCTGGTAGCTCCCTTCTCCAACAGTCGAGCCTCGTGAAAGCGCATGGGTTCATTGGTGCCAATCAACACACCCGAATCACTGAAATTTAAAAGACCCACGTCCACCAATCCATCTCGTTGACTCAGACACTGTCGATGGCCAATGTAGAGGTCATTGATATGAACGTAAAAGAGAAACTTGCGATCGGCATCGACCGCATTCAGCACCTGGACCCGCACCAAATAGTCACCCTCGGGGTCCACTCGCGCAAACGCCTGTCCCGACGCAGGCTCGATATCTTCGGGGCATTGGAGGCGACCGTGCTGTTCCACCAACTCCACCGAAAACTTGCCTCGATGATTCACCATGGTTGGTTGGTTTGCCGAGCACCACTCGCTTTCCCCAATATTATTGGTGTTCCCTTGAAAGCCGTCCCTTCGGTGTGTTGTTGTCCGTTGCTGTTTCCTCTCATTTGAATTCTGCCGGACGGACGGAAAGACACTTTGTCAGCCAGCGAAGCTGAATTGCGCTGAAGTCTCCAAGGCCTCCAAGCTTGAGCCGTTGTGGTCTCTCCAGACGACGTTCTTCACTCTTTCGACTGTTGGACATCCCCGACAAAAGGCACTATCGCCTCTTCCGCTTCGTTCTAGCTAGATACCACATACTGTAACACAAGACAAACATGGTTGTAGATGGTCAAATTTCCGTTCGACTGGTCAATGCCGAGACCAAGGAGCCCTTCAAGGAGCACATGGGCGACAGCGGAAACGTCTTTGTTGAAGCCGAACCTGACGCAGAATACTTTATCGAGATTCTCTACGACGATGAGCAGAAAAGCGACGAGGACGAAAACCAAGATGACGATGATGCGCTAGAGGACGAAGACATCGCAGACAAACATTCTCCCGCCGTTTTCATGGAATTTTCAGTGGATGGGAAGAAGCTTCAGGCCCCCTTGACCCTCAGCCCGAGTTCGGAAACGTACTATGCTGGGATTTGGTCGTGCAACAACGGAACGAGCAAGGAACGAGCGCTTCGTTTTCAGATTCCAGCCAGTGGTGGAGTCCTTCCTGACGGAGAGGAACTGGTAATGGGGTCCGTCGTCGTCGATGTCTTTGAAGCCATCCCGAATGGAACCCGAGCGCTGCTCGACTGTGAGGGAGACTTTGTCAGCTCGTCGCCGGTCAAGGGAAACATCGCAAAGCTCTTGCGCTCTGGGCAAGGATCCACGTGCGAAACCGAAACTATGGCGCTTGTCTCCCAAGTCTTTAAGCGTGGTCGCTTACTCCGTACAATTTCCGTAAAGTGCTGTACGGCACTGGGATTGATTCATGTTGGTGTCTTGCCCAAACCCCCTGTTTGGGAATACCTTCGCATGAGAAAGCCAGCTACACAAGAGACCACCAGTAGCAATTTCAACTACGTCGAGCCCACGCGAGTCAAGAGAGGCGGTACGGTGGTGGACGGGGTGGAGATTGAGCCTCCGCAGGAATGCGAATTCTTTGACCTCGCTGTACTCTCCGACGATGACGAGGAGAGTGGAAAGGAGGCCACTGAAGGCGCACAGGAGGAGACCACGGAAGAAGAATCGGATGGCAAGGCAGTTGTCAGCGATGACGAAGCAAGCATCGGCCACGACGTGGGAAAAGCCAGGTTCGATGCGCGCCGTGGTTCGCAGTCTGAAGTTCGCAGTCGCGCTGCAACTGTTACAGCCGGTGGCGAAAGTGCCTAGATAGGCAAGTCTCCGAAGCAGCAACAAAGTAGAGCAAAATGGCAAAGAATGATTCGGATGGTCAACGTTTGAAGCTAGTCTTTTGTACCGGTACTGTCCCGCCAATTGAACCGCTAGGCATCCCTGAGACTTGAGAGCGATCCATTGAATGACAATCCGTTGCTTCAAGCAATCAAAAATATTGTATCTAGCATAAGTAAAATAAATAAGCCTGGAACGAAAGCGCACATTCGAAGTACTAGTAATTGTTTCATCCCAGCATCCGGTTTGTTGGCATGCACCCTGATAGTTTCAGCGGACGCTTCACTTTGTGGACTGGAGGACGAGGGAACAGAACCCTTTACCTCAGCAAAACACAGCTGAAACTGGTTCCACTACTTCCGAAAAGTCCCTAGAGGCTAGTTCGGTAAAGACAATGTGGACTGCAAACGCAAGAATATCTATGAACATTTATTTAATGTACTATCGGAGCCACGAAGACAGGCACATCCACAACAATTCACGACATGCAAAAGAGAATCTACATGTGCAAGCAGGAGAACCACAACCTCTAGTAGTATCGTCGCCAGTTGTAGGCACCACGTGGGATCATTTCTGGAACCTCGACACGAAGACGTTCCCACATGACAGCATCCACATTGCGGTACACTATGGCACCAATCTGCTGTCCACGTTCGGGCATGGACCAAAGGAGAACCTTGAGATAGCGAACCCTTTGGACATGTCGAGGCAGATTGTTTATGACGTATGGAATAATCACTTCCCAGTTCTCAGAAGCAGTGATTTGGAAAACCTTTCGGGAGATTTGCTTTTGGACCTGCAAAGGAAGGTACTTTCGCCCGATGGGGTTCAAGTTGTCCTCTTCTCCCTTTAGATGCACTAGGAAGTAGTCAAGGAAAGGAGGAAGATCCTTCTTCAAAGTGTCCAGGGCGCTTTGACGGCGTTCCTTGGCTATGTTTGTGTTCAAAAGGAGGTTGGCAAGATTCTTGAAGTAAGCAATCTTTGCATGGAAGTCTGGCCCGGCAAGAAACGATAGGGAAAGCAAAGAGTGAGAATCGAATCGCATTCGGCACAGAAAATCCATTCGGGAACGGAAGCCGTTTATGTAGTCGTACCTTCGTGGTCGTCGTTGTACTTTTTGGCATGCTTTGAGAACCAATCGTTGAACTCTTTGAAGATAACTTGGTCTTCGTGCTTGCTGTGTTCATCGTGGACAATGCAGAGACGATTGAAGTGCGCGGCAAAGACTGCCAAGTGGTCTCGAGCTGCATCGGACTTGTCGTTCAAATCAAGGGTATCCAGTGATGACCTCATTGTTTCCATGTTTCCACGGATCGCTTCATGGGTCAATTTCATGAAGCTCAATGGACCCCACTTTTGCTCTGGTGTAAAGACTCCACGGCGTCGACTCAAGGAGGCAAGAGTATGGAGGAAGCACACGCCATTGGCAACCGAGGCCATGATGAGCGCGGTGATCATGAGGTTTTCGAGAGCGTTGTATCCGTAAATGGCATACATCAGAGCAGAACAAGCCGCAAGGGCACCGAGGGCAAAGCATCCAATCCAGTATTGCATGCCGAACTTGTCTTTCCCCAAAAAGCCAATGTACGGCAGGGTGGACCAACAGAGAACGGCAAAGATGAACAGGGCCATGAAAAAGTAATTGACAAAGCTTGCATTGCATTGCTCCAGCGGGAGCACTTTGTCCGACACGCAGATGGAATAGTCTGCCATTCCAATGATGCACGGAGCGGCCACCCAGATGAAGACTCCATGACGAAGGCGATTATCGCTGTTGTGGGAAGTCACAACCTTCAAAAAGTTGATGACAAAGAGCACAATCCACATGACCACGGCAAAAGACTGGAAGAGTCGGGCCACCAAGACGTTTCCCCTTGCGTTGTCGTTGTCCAAATCGAACAAGGGGATCATGGGGCACACCAAGGCTGCCACCGACAACCCAACGGGAAGAATCATCCACTGAGAATGAACGTGCTCCAATTCGTGGCGCATACCAACCCATTCTCCCAACTTGGCAATGGTCAAGAGGCAGTGCGCGAGGGATCCGACCCAGAAGATGACGCGAGCAATGTCATCCAGTCGATAATCTTCCACCTCTTCATCGTGAATCAAGAAGGAAATCAACATGAGGCAGATGGTAGGAGCACCAAAGCTGGGAGATCGCATTGGGCAATCCCATTCCGTCTTGCACTTGTGGGAGTGGAGAACGAATCGTGCAAGGTAGAGCAAGGCCCACAACAAAAGGATGACGGTACCCAAGAGGCCAACGGCCATGTATACTTCGTCCGTGATGACATACTGGCGTTCGACTCCCGTAGTGTTGAACGATGTAGTAAACTCGGCTCCCATCTTGAAGGCAACAGCCAAGGCCAAGAGTGCCAAGGGCATGGCGAAGTAAGAGACCTGCATGTTTCGGATAATGTTGAAATCATCTTTGGTCCATTCATCCGTCTTCCTCTTGTACTTGAGTGAAATGGCGCTGCTGGGATCCGAGTCGACCTTCTCAGGCTTGGGGGCATTGCTGTTGTAATGCATGTATTCCCAACTCTCCTCCACTTCCTGTTTACTGCTGGTGTAGATGCGGTAGACATAGTCCGGGAAAATGCCAAACATGATCCCCCACGAGTAGAACAGACAACCGAGGCAAAAGTCAAATGCCCATTCCAGGCCCGATGCCATGGCGAGACCGGCCATAAAGCCACAGGCAATGTACTGATGGTATTCAAATTCGACAAAGTAAAAGATGGTTCCCATGAGCGAGAAGAAGGTACCGCAAGCGGCGGCAAACTGCTTGGGCGGACCGGGCTTGAACTGAGGGTGGAAGGGGCTGGTCAGAAAGGTTGCAACCATTCCGAGTGGTGATGCCGAGGATCCCACGACCATTCGCAAGACAAAGTCAATCAAAAGACCGGCCGCCACGTATCCCGGGAAGTCTTCATTGGGAAAGGCGGCGCTGAGCACCGCAAAGAGGCAGACGAAGAACCCCGTGACGCGAACGACGTAGTTGTTGACCACATTGGGGAACCAAAAGAGCGGATGACAGGCTTTGCTGCGTTGGACAGGAACCAAATGAGCTGTCTCCACCTTACCGGAGGAGTAGGTGGCACGCTGGTTGCCAATGAGACCGGCGAGAAGTTCCCGTTCGAGTTTGCCGTTGGCTCGGAGAGCCTTGACATCATCACATCCACCCAGGAACTGTCCTCGCACAAAGACGGCTGGGACGGTGCGGTGCTTGTATGTGTTGATGATGTGCTTGTGAATGTTCCCACCGCCGGAGATCTTGTCGACATTGATGACATGCACCGTGACACCCAACTGCTTGGCCAAGACATCCAAGACATCACGGCAAAAGGGACAATGCGATTTGGCAATCACCGCCACGGAATGCTCGTGCAAAAAGCTCTCGACACGGTCTCCGACAGAGGAACCCTTGTAGTTGGACAAATCGGTCACTTCCACGATGGTGTTGGTTGCAAAAGAGACCTGTTCGGGAGTGGCGAAATCCTCTTCCACGAGTTCGGTCGAGGTGTAATCGTCCACATCCACATCGTTGTTGGTGGAAACTTGGACTCCGGAAGCTACCATGGTCGATTTTGTTTAATCAGAAAGCACTTGATGGGAAAGAAGATGGAAGAAAAATCTGGTGGAACTCAGATTCAATCTCCTGAGCGAAGAATAAAAATTGTGTGCTTGCTGCTGAAAACAGATATTTTTTTATAATGTTTCCTTGCTGATGAGCTGCTGCGAGGCTTCTTTTGTTGTCGAGAAAGAAAAAAAGTGAGTCTTCTGAAGTAAAAGCGCTGCGAGAAAGCGCTGCTAGCCGCAGAAGCGCTTTGTGCATTATTTATTTATTTAGTGTTCTCGGGTTGTCAACCATGGCCCGGTGCGCGGCTCTAGACTACTTGTACTGGTACCAATGCTTTGGGATACTTCCGTACTGGTACTACTTACCTGGCACTGGCAACCTGTAATCACTGGTCGTGTGTATGAAGGTTTGAAGTGAATAACAGATTTAAAGATTGCTAGAGTACACATATATTCGCGTTCACAGTTTCAAGTTTTCACTTAATGGTCCAGTTTCTGGAGAGTGCTTCTACAGGGGCTTGAACTTGTTGCGGAGTAGAATACAGTAGTCTTGTGGTAATACATAGCAATTCTGCTTTCGGTCGAATTAGAGGCCTCTCGCAATTCACCGAATGAAGCAACAGGAACTCACAATTAATTATGGTAACTCCAGCTTCCGTATTCTCGCTTCGCATGCAAGCCTCAACAAAACACTCTTTACAAGACTTGATGGTGGCAGTCCTTGAGTTACAGTGGTACAATCGTACCGGTACGGTAGAGATAGAGCTGAGAGCCGAGTGAGAGTCTCAGTCGAGTCGAGTCGAGTCAGTCCACCGTCCATCTCCTGTGTGCAGTTTTTCTGCATTTACACCGTGTCGTCCATCTCCTGTGTGCAGTTTTTCTGCATTTACACCATATCGAATAATTTCCAGCTGAATGCTCGATTCCATTCCAGCTGAAATAATCATCATGGTTTGATAGCTGTTTGATCCGGCTTCAGGGCTTCACTTTCGGAGGATCTCCGCAACTTCTGTGCAGCCCCGCTGGGCCTGGATGAGGTTCTTGCCATCAACCGCCTTCGTTGGCATGCTAAGTTTCAAGACGATAGCAAGACCGTTATGCTGTTGGTGGAAGCAGCCAAGCGAAGATACTATTTCATTTCAGGCCTAGCTAGATGCTGCACTCGGATGATCTCCAGCTCTGTGAAGCTCCGATGGGTCGGGGGCTGCCATCAACCGCCCTTCTTTGACGTGCTAAGTTTCAAGAAGATAGCAAGACTGTTTCGGTACATACATGTATTGAGAGAAGCCATGAAAACCCAACTAGCTTGCCAGATGCTGCCTTTTTTGCAGAAGGCAAGAAGGGGATTTCTTCCCCCTGAAAGCCAACGTTCGAAATCAAACGCAACGCTGGGCCTTTTGGCTGGCTGCAACCTCCGTAACCAGCCAAGGCTCTGCCAAGTCGTTAAAGAGAGCAGAAACTTAAAAACCATCGTCTTGATAGCTATGGTACGGTAGCTATCCAGGTTAAAATGCGACCCGCCTGAACGATGTCTGTTGCAATGTAAAACGGTCCTTTTCGGTTCTGAGAGCTGGCTAGCAAGCTACCGGTACCAGCTGTGCGCTGACGGTGCTTGTCGGTTCCGAGTCATAGAGTTTGGATTGTATTGCTAAACTTCCGACACCGAAAGCAAACCGGCTCGGCTGGCTTGGTTTGCTGACTTCCACGGTCTGCAAATCAGCCCTTGCTTTGAACCGACGCTTCCATGCACCGGTGACCCTTCGTACATGATCCGCAACCCAGCAATCAAGAGCGTACTGGGGATCGTCCCTGGATGGGAGCGACTGCACTCTGTAAGCATTATCTTGGGGTTGCTGGCTGCCTTCGGGTCGCCGATCCTATCACTGATCTCTACTAGTACCGTGCATTGACTTTTTTGGCCCCGAAAAGATCATTCTGGCTGGCTGGCAATTCGATACCGGTACCGGTACGGTACGGTAGGTGGACTATACCGGTACTTCAAGTATCGTAGTAGAGGTGCGCACCTCATCCAATGAACAGAAAGTCTTGGCAAGAGACTATCGTTAAACTCCCCCTCCGGTCCATCTTATCCCTCTGCAGCAAAAGTGCAGCTCAAACTTCAGCAAGGGGGCACCTGTCAAAAAAGTTGTTGGCGAGGAAGGCGGAAGAAATCAAATGGAAGCTAGAGAAGTTCTACTAGTAGTAATAAAAATGCAAAATGAAAAGAGAGAGCGCTTCCGAACTGGTATCTACCCAGCAGCTAGGTATCTGTACAGCCGTATTCACTTTTACATACACAGCCATGTAGGGGATAATTCTTTTCTAAACTCCTGTGCAAGTAAACGTCCAACTGCAGCCTCCTGATTTGCAATCACTGTCCTCATTACACAGCTCTCCCTCACCCAGCTTTGGCTTGCAAATATATTTCCAAGATCCAATGTCACAGCGACCCGACTCACACTCATCTTTCGTTTGCAAGCAGTATGTAGCTAGCTGGTTGAGTATAATCATGTGCTGTGTTCATGCACATTTTCAAGGGAAGCTTACCATTGTATCTGCAGCGAGCTCCTTCTTCATAGCCTTTCAGACCAATTGTTCCACTGAAAAAGATAGTTGAGGTCAGCTTCTCCACATTGTCAATGTAGTACTTCATGCCATGGGGCGAAACCCCCCAGTGAAAGCGGGTGTGCCCCTCATCTTTGCCAAGATAAGCTGCCATTTTGCCACCTCCAAGGAGAATGGAATGCCCAAAATGTTCTGCACCATAACCAGGAACCATAGCAACCATGTCATAAACCACACCCAAGGGCGTCGGAATCATGTTTGCCAGCCTGTAGTGATTCTCATCAACTATTTTATCACAAGGGCGGTACACAGCCTTTGGGGCTCCAAAAGTGATGACTTCTGGATTGTAGTCTGCATAAAGAAGAGAAGCAACAACGGCCGCTACAGCAACAATGAAAAACAACAGAACAGGTTGAACACATGATATGTCAAGGTACAAATGGAAAGGCACACCTGTACAAATGTCAGACTTACCTGCTCCACCTTGGCTGTGACATGCAGTGAAACCAATTACGAGTAGATGGAATTGAGGATGCGTTTCTTTGAGCAGTATAGAAGACATGAAGTTCAATGCAGCCACGACTCACCTATGCCCTGTCAAGGTGAGGGTACAATCAGTACAGTCCTTTTTCAAGCAATCCTTGAGGGCTCCATCAAATTCTGGGAAGTAGCTGTTGTGGATAGCACTCAAATAGCCATTACGAGCTGTGCATCCTTCCACCATGGCTTCATCCAGATCAAAGTTCTGCAGCCAGTCCTCTACGCCTTCATTTGTGCCGCGAAACACTCCCAAACATTCTTTTGTACCATTGTCCAAAGCTACAAAGGATTGGTCAGGGATCGCCCTGAAGGCTTTGATGTATTCTAGTCCCAACTCATCTGCCGCCTTGGATGCTACTGCAGCATCGGTCAAGTCGGGGTTGTATGCCAAAATGGAAAGCTTGGCTGCCTTCAAGAAGACTTCTGCCAGGGGAAGAGAAACCTCCAGATGGACTTCGACTCCTGCTTCCAGCCCAGGTTCTTCTTCAGCACCACTGAGTTCTTCAGATACTATATGTTCAAGATCAGCAATCCTTTTAACAGTCTCCGGGTCGGTAAGATCTTCTGCGGCAGCATGGGTGCTTAGCTCTTCGATGATTTCAGTAGCATCTTTGGCAGAATCAGAGCTGCTAAGCTTGTCAGAGGAATCAGAATCAGAGCTGCTCGAATCAGAGCTGTCAGAAACAGAGCCGCTTGAGTCTGAGCTGTCAGAATCACCAACCACAAATGGACACTGAATGCCCAGAGAGGCTAGGAGTAGCAAGACTGTAAGTGCTCGGATATGCATCTTCTTGATCAATCAAGTTTGTCCTTTCGGACGGGAACTTCAGCAAACAGCCAAAGTAGGTCTGACTTTGCCCATACATTTTTGCAACTGTGCAAAAGGGACAAGCCTCCCTCAGGCTGATACAGATGCTTTATTGTGTGTTCATTTCAGAAAGATGCAACAGTTGGCTCCTTCTTTCACTGAGCATGTATCTGTGCGAGATATCTTCGAATGATCATTCATCCGAAGATACTGCTACGTGTGCTGGACCACCTTATGTGCAAACGTCGTTTGAAAAACTGGTACCATCTGAAGAATTAATATTATTTAGCACACCAGATACACCTTTAATTCTCCTATACCGGCTTCAAAAAAATTCGTCTTAACGATGACCAGAACAGACTCGGAAACGAAAAGGAACGGACCAACCACGCACAGCCACGCAGGGATTTTTGGGGAGTGGGGAGTGGGGAGGGTCCATCATCGAAGATACAGCGTACTAATACCGCGTACATGTAGTACACTTCAATGTGCTGCATTTTAAAATACCAGCTTTTGTGAAACGTCGTTTGAAAATCTGGTACCATCTGAAGCATTATGACTATTTTCCACACCAGGTACAACCCTAATTCTCTTATACGCGCTTCAAATGTACCGCACCGGCACCGTCCGTGTATCTAGGGTTTGAGGTACGAGTATGCATACATGTACAAGTACAATACCAGTACTAGCACACTGTATGTCATACTCTACACTACTAGTACCCGTACATCGTACTAGCTAGCTAGCCAATTACCAAAGCCAGAAGCCGAACAGGGATTAAGAGAGGGGCAATTGTTACTTACGATCGGGTTACATAGTCGCTGGACTGGGTCCTGGATCGGTATTGATTATTGTCGGTACCGGTACCGGTGCGGTACACTTGTACAGTACTGGGTACCGGTACCAGGTAATGACCGAGAGGGATTAGTTAAGAGAATGAGGAGTCAGTATCCAGCTTAACTCCTTAACCCTTTCATTTTCAGAATGTTCAGAGAGTCCAAGACTTTACTTAAAAGGAGGGCCTAATGAGAACAATTCGAGAATCTTATTGCTGGTCATTGGCTTAGAGCCCGAAGTGTAGTGATGTAGGATAGGAACAGCCTTATTACCTCACCAAGGCATCTTAGAATCGCTGGTTGTGTCATGTTAAAGCAGCTTTAAATCTATCTTTAAATCTCACTGGTATAAAGTGAATGTTCAGATGCTGAAGTTCTCTTATTGCGCTGACGTGGCAATTGTATGTTTAGGGACTCAACTTGCCTTCGCAACCATCGGCGTTCCTCCCCAACTTGGATTTTTAAATTTTGTACTGTTTCTTCTAGAGTACATGAGCCTGAGGGCCAGATCTCGTGAAATCCAGTTGACCAAAACCAAAACTACAAACTACCCATGCACACACACCACGCACCACGCACCACCACACACCCAAACAACAGGCAAAATTTGTGGTCTCTTTTCTCCTCCACTTTTTCAAGCTCACTGGAGATCGTTCGGCCATCGAAGGTGTTAACCAGTTGCCATCCAATCGCAACAATACAGTTAGTTACACACCGCTCTTTGGCAAGGAAAAGAGCAAGCGTCAAAGAAGATCATTCTATTGGTACTTTATTACAACAGCTGACAATCCAATCAATACAAGTGAAAGGTGCACTGCTTTCACTGCTTTTTTCCATTCATTCTAATCCGAGGGTACATCCATTTCTACACAACGAGTGTTCCAACCAAACGAGAAGATGGTGAGAAGGTTAATTCGATCAATGTCCGGCGATGACGGTGGAGCCGGTAATCGAGGCGAAGGAGGTGGCCTTATCAGGAGTGGCAGCAAGAGGTTCATGAAGACATTGTAAGTGTGTGCCGTGAGACAGTGAGGAGGGTAATGCCGTTTTGGAGGCCTCTAATTTCTCTCTCTTCTCTCTCAAACTGTGCGTGCCTCTTCCAGGTCCACTGCCAATGTCATGGTGGGAGTCTTGGAAGAAGGTGTCAAAGCCGGGGCCAGTCTCGGCATGGAACTCGGCACCGGTGCTGCCGCTGGAGTGGCGGGTGCTGCCGGGGCCGTGGGCAGTCTGACATCCTTTTCTTCCCAGAAACGCAACAAGGGCTCCAGTGCCCGACGACGACTGTCCGAATTGAACATTTTTGGCGACGGAGAAATCATGACGGTCGAACATACCCTCAAGAATATTCAGCAAACCAAAGAAAACGTTCACGTCACCAAATTGGAATTGGAGGATGTCATTAATCGAGAAGACGGAAAAGAGGCTCAAGTATTTGGAGCTGTCAAAGACATGCTCCTCAACGATGGCGGTCGACAATGGAAATACATTAGTTTTATTGATACCATTCGCGTGGGATTCATGGGTGAGGACGTGTCCCGCCTCAAGTCCTACGAGAAAGAACTACAAACTCTGTGGGCTGGTATCCAACAAGAAGCCGAAGGCAAGCCGCTACGATTCCAGGTCAAACTGGAAATCCTAGAAGATACAACCGTCGCAACAATCATCGATCTATTCACGGAGCTGCAACGAATGCACATTGTCAAAATCGAATATATGGGAGGTCTCTATGGTTACAAACCTCCGGAGATTGCCGATGCCCTCTACGAGCTCTGTAAGCCCGAAGACGAATTTTCCAGTGTCGAAAAATGCGGTGTTTTGAATGATATGATCCTCCTGACGGTGCATCTGACAGCATGCGAAGAATCCACAGACCAGACGGAAGCACCAACAACAACCACCAAAGACGCAACAACATCCCACAAAGACAAGTCAAAAGTCAAAATATGGAAAAAGGTACTGCGCAAAAGTGTCAATCGGCTCAAGGGAAAGACCACCTCGTGCAGTGGTGACAGCGAGTCGGACTTGTCCGCCATGAGAGCTGCCGCGGTACGGGCTCGCCCTAGTAGTGCGTACCGCAATACGAGAACCAGCCGATCCTTGTCGCCTCCCCGAAAGACCAGCATGGCGCGATCTGATCACGAAGCGAAAAGCTCCGCATTGGATTTGAGTGGCCATGGTGGTACCAGCCACAACAGACGCCGAAAACCTCGTCGTATCGGAACTCCACCAGCATCGCCCACGAGAGGAGAGCAGCAGGAAAGTGGTGGTGGTAGTCCAAAGGGCGACGAACGGACGAAACGATCCAGCCGATCCGTTTCGCCCAAGACAAGGCACTCGCACGATCCCAATTTGGTCAAAAAGGCGGCCATGGCGGCCGAGTCTGTATCATCCCCCAGAAGAAAGACAGACCCGCTGGGAGGATTCGACTCGAGCCACCACCGACGACGTATGAATATTCATATTGTAGCTTTGCCATTGGACGACGATAGTGAGGATGATGAAATGGCCAATGACAACAATAGCAATGGCAGTTTTGAGGAGGAGGAAAAGATGCCTCCTCCTCCCCCACCGCCTGGTCGACTGAAGCGTGCGATTTCCTCGCCCATGGAACGGCCGTCTGGTCTTGTTTCTTCCAGAGGAGGAGGATTGAAGCGTTCCCACAGTATGAATCGAAAGCGACGCCCAAAAGGCCACGAGGAGAAAAAGAAAGCGACACCAATCCCCGACTACGACTGGAGCACCCATGTCTGCTCTCATGGTCCCGAAGCGGAGTGTGGCGAGTGCACCGCCGCAAAATCAGCCTAAGACGATCCTCGATCGATCGTTTTCGGTAATGCGCTGAGCTGTTATGAATAAAATGTATTTAATAATTAGAGAATCTGCCTATTTCGTTTCGTTTGCGGCTGTTTGTTGTGACTCTACGGCATTGTTAATCATTCATTCATTCGTTGGGATCCTGTCCTCCCGACATGCTTCCATGTTTCCCTTTGCACTTCCCTCCGTTCGCGAAAGTTCCGCAATGTCTGTAGACGTTTGATTGCGTCTCGATGGCGGTGGGAAGCGATCGACCGGTCTTTCTTAGTCGATATCCTGGATGCTGGAAACACAATAGCTGAAGACAGCTGGGGTGTCGCCTTGGTCGATGGGTCGTTGTTCTTGTTTCTGATTCGTGGGAAGATCCAAGAGCAGGCGAATTTCACGGGCCGTCAATGAAAACACCGTCTCATCAGCCACACCATCCACCTTGGCCATGAGATCCCGCACAACCAATTCCTTGCTCCCTCCACTGCTCTGGATGATGTCGGCTTGTTCAGAATCATCGAGTTCCTCCGTGGCGGAAAGCTCTTCTGTGTCACTTTGTTCCGAATGATGATCTTTGTCATCCGACTTGTGGTCCTTGGGCTCCGCCGTGGTCTCTTCCGTGGTAGACAGCCCCTCGTTCCCCCTCTCTTCAGGATGCTTCTGGCCCTTTCGTTCCGTCGTGATCTCCTCCGTGGCAGATTGCTCCTCCGTGTCAATCTGTTCCGAACGGTCTTTGTCCGATGGCTTGCAGTCCTCGTGTTCCGCCGTCTTGTCGCTGCGATTGTTGCTGTCCTGGTTGACGGGCGGTTCATCCTGGCTCGTCGGCTTTGTCATGATCATCTTGCAGAATTCCTGGAAGAAAGAACGCACAAATAAATAACAGGATTGGCTTTTCAGTGAGGCACCGCGACATCGATTCGATTCTCTTGGGAAACAATGTCCACTTACCTTGTGTTCCGCCCAGTCGCCTCGCTGGCACTCTTTCGAACAGTAGGACACCTTTCGGCAATGGGAACAGCAGAGCAAGTTCTTGTTGGCCACGTCCTTGGATGTCTTTCCGCATGACAAGCAGACGAGGTGGAGTGACTTGGGGTAGGCAGCACGTTCTGTCTCGGTGTTCGCCTGAACAAAGGCGGCGTCGAGTCCTTCCCGAACGTCGCGTCGCTTCTGTGGCCCATTCCAAAACACGAGAAACTCGCGTTTGGCTTGCTCCACCAGTTTGTTGCTTTGTTTGCGCGGCATGTCATTCCCGTATAGCTCCAGACAGCGCTTGGCAGAGCGGAGACACTTGGAGAAGAAGAACTCTGCTTCCTTGACGGAACCAAGCTTGGGATTGTTCAATGCCTCGCAGGCCAACATGGCGTAGCACTTTGGCAAATGGTAGCTGTCGACGTGGGCTTGTTCCGTGACCTTGCAGTATTCCGCAAAAACGACTGCCTTGTCCATGTCCCGACGGCGGGACCAAAGATCGGCACGCATGACGCGAGCTTTGAGGAAACCAGGATTGATTGCCAATGCCTTGGTAAGGTCTTGGACAGCCTTGACTCTCTTGTTTAGCGAAACAAAGAATTCAGCACGCAAAAAGAGAACTTTGGGCCGAGCAAACCAACCAATTTCCAAATGAGGTTGCTCCTGGAAAAGCTGTAGCCACTCCGTGGTGAACTCAATGCCTGTTGCAATTTGGTCTTTGTCTTCCTCCTTGCGGTCGATACAGGACTGGAGACGAAAGAACAGTGTCAGGAGAGCTTGTAGAACCACGTCATCTGATGCGTTGTTTATGTGGCTTTGCGCGAGACGCTGAAGGAGTGCCATATCCATGACCACCTTACCCGCTTGGTCTGCTTCGTCGAGCGGGAGGGAGGGCAACCAATTGATTGATCGACAATCCAGGAGGAAGGCTTGAGCAATGAGGTTGGCTGCTTGAAATAACGATTCTTCATCACATTCGTCGCCTTGGGCCATGGCAAGACCTCTCCGAAACATTCCACGAGCAAAGTCCAACTCCATCGCCTCGGGATCGGTGGTTCTGCCCCTGTAGGACTTGATGTGAAGAAAGGCTTTTCTCCAGTCAACAAACTGCACTCGCACAGGTTTTGTTGGGGCTGCCGTGAACGCCTTCTTCTTTTGCCTGTTGGTCTTGCTAGCCTTGCCCATGGTTCTTCTTGTTGCTGCTGCTGCTGTCGAGTGCCACAGCAAGGCTCCGGCAAATTATGAGGATGAGTGGTTCGAATTGGATTCTTCGGTTCAAGCTCGAGGGTTCGCGGTTTGGATCCTTGGCAACTCCCGCGGTACGTATAAATGCTACCAATTCGTACGTAGCAACTGTGATTTGGTCACATGACCATGAATGGAGTGTCCAACGAACGCTTGAAGGAGATCGGAGTAGTTTAGGATCAAGACGGCATCCCTTTCTACATTCTGCAGGTTCCAGTTTCCTTCGAGGTCCTTTTGCCACAGTAGCTGTTACCGATTTGGGCCACGGAACACAGCCATCGTGCTGTCTAGCTAACTAGAGGAGTGGGATGAATGTTGGTGAGGCGGTAATCTTTCAAAGCAGACTTGTACAGCGCTTGTCTCAATGGAAGTTGCCATGGCCACGGTTCAGGGATGGTTTCACTGCCGTGGAGGCAAAACGTCTGGACGGTTACCTGGCAATAGCAACTTGACCACTTGTTGGCCTGCTTCTTCAGAGGCGTTTTGGTTTGGAAGAGAAAGGTTTCCGAAAGAGACGATATTTCTCTGATGTATTTGATATGCAGAACTGAGTTATCAATGGGCTCCTCTTACTTATGCATAGACTACTTCTACTGCTCTTCAGGCAGGCAGAAAAGCAACCGCCGAGCTGCGATAACGCCATCTGGGAATCGTACCCGCCATCTGGGAATCGTACCGAAACGATCTACGATTCCCACACTCCAACCGAAAAAACCTTGGCCGCAGAGATGAGCCCCCGAGGTGCAAAGTGATGCTCCACAAGCAAAGCAATAACCTACAGTACTAGTACCCTCTCATCCTCCACAGACAGAGAACATCGCAACATCATCGAAAAGATGTAAACCTTCGGTGGTGGTGTTCGCACCTCGAGCGTCGATAAAAACTTGGCCGCAGAGACGATACTCCACAAGCAAAGCAACATTTACTCCTCATCCTCAACTCCCAGAGAACGCAGTCAAAGTAGTCAACGTTATCAAAAGGATACAATCAGCTTTATGCAAAGACGAATGCGCCATCTGGGAATCGAACCCAGGGCTCAACGATGGCAACGTTGAATTTTACCACTAAACCAATGGCGCTTGTTGTTGTGATGAGAGCATAGTCTAAAATTTGGTTCTAGATAGAATTTGTTGGGGTGTCAGAAGGTAAAGTTTTGCATCAATTGATTGTTTTTGTGTGATTGTTTTTGTGTGAGAAGGAACCATTATCAAGCCTTGCTCTAGCTAGCTGGCAACTAGCTAGGCAGCATCGGTTAATCTCAGGAACTTGAAGGTGAAACTTAGGTTACCAAAAACTTAGCAATATTCAGCCGTGGCGACAGGGAGCAACTTGATATGCTCCGATGGTCTACTAGTGAATTGCCAGAAACGATGATCTACGCAGGCAATGACATATACTGGGCCTGTCAATACATAGAAAACGTACAAAACCTCATTGCAGATAGTAGTACGGTAACCACAGCCATTACCCAGTTCTATGGATTATCATTATTGGCAGCATCATTATTGTCTTGCGCTCCAGCTACTGGCGCTAGGATGCGGAAAGCCCGGCGCCCCGCAAGAATGTGTTGCCGAATTTGTTCAATTCTCCGTGGATCACCTTCCAGCCCAAAGGCTTGAGCAATCCCTTGGGCGTTTACTCTGGCATGTTGCAATCGGCGGCATTCAGGTTTATGGTCTTGCCAATGCTGCAACTGACAAGACCTACTGCAGTAGAGCGCCTTTTTGGCGCGGCATCTGTTACAGCGATGGAAGGGAGGCACACGATACATTTGGTCTTGTACATTGTCGGGCAATAAATCATGATGAGTGGGGGCACATGTTGTTGTTTGCATGCATGTAATGTCATTGCGCAAGGTTTCCCACTGATCCGCCGATGTGAATGCTTTTGTCTTGAGCCAGTGGCGGCTCTGAGCCCGTCGCCCCGTGTGGTACCCCCTTCGGTAACAGTGTGGATTGATGCACTTTTCCAGTTTCAAACGGCGGTGGTGAGGAGGTACTGGTTTCTGGTCGATCAACTGTACCAATCCGCTGACAATGTGATGGATGGTTTCTGTCTCTTTTCTGGCCGAGCGAACCAGTCCTGGCTGCGGATGGACATGCCGGTTGGTGAGCCCCAAGAGGACGTGAGGGTGTGCTGAGGAATCGGCTATTTGCTGCATGATTTGGAGTCCCAGTTGTTTCGTCGAGGGACCTTGTCGCAGTAGAATGTTTGCCAACTCCGCCTGAGATCGAGCATGACTCGGGGAGACCTGGTGGAGTGTGGATGCAAAGATTGCCACTCCCGTATGGATGTCATCTTCCACATAGGTTGCTATCAATCCCAGGAGGAAAATGGCATCAGGATTTCCTGCTTGAGCAAATGGCAAGAATCTTTTTGTGGCTGTGATCGGTGTGTCATTCTGGAGAAAGCACCGGATGCTACCTTCACTGGTACTTGCACTACTTGTAGGAGCATCCACATCAACGCCAATGTCGAGAGCAGTAGTACGAGCATTCACTATTGGTGGCAGTATCTGCAGCTTCTTCATCATTTGGGGAGATTCGCTGATTTCCTGGAATCTTTTGTTGACACATTGCAGGTTGAATCGATCCAATGGAGAGTTCAGATGGTCACAAAAGATTTGTAGTAGAATGTCTTCAGGTAAGCCTTGGATGGGTGAGTAGGAGCCTGTATTTGGTTCGGTAGCTCCGGCTGTACCCGTTGTACCGCAGTTGCGTGTGCTCTCCTTGTCTTTCTTTTCTTCGGATGATGGCCACACAAGGGACAGAGACGGAGCCGTCAGAGACTTGAGTTTGCACAGAGATCTGATGCCCAGGAGTATGGTGGCACATGCCAAAATGGTATCGGTTCGTGGATGCCTATTACTCGCAAGGAAGTCCAGAATCAGGTTACCAGTCGTTCCAATTCCAATCATTGTTCTGTGAGACAAGGGTGTAACCTCCAAAGGGACTACTGCCACTTTGTATGCGCAACAACTAACAATTTCTTAGGAGAGAAGGGCTCAGTAGCTCATCAGCAGCGAGGTATGTGAGTAGACACGGAAGCAACAGGATGACAGAAAGAGCGATACAGTAGAATGTTTCATCGCCGCTGCGGCAAGCTGGTCGTCGTCGAAGAAGAAGAAAATCTTTTTTAAAAGCTGCAGAGCCGGTAACTTCTCTTTCTCCCGGAGAACTTGTCCGAACCTGTCACCACACAAACAGTTGCATGTAATGTACAATCTCACTCAGCCTCTCAAAAAAACTTACTTGACTGATCGTCAGTTCTTCTTTGGCTATGGCTACACATCTACGGCTTCTATGCTATGGTATGAGAAAAGGCAAAGCAATGAATTGGACAACTAGGATGTACACTGTACCGCAGCGAGATACACCGGGACCCTTATAGTAAGCAACCTTTCTATTAGGCATCTTAAACGTACCTGGATGCATTGGCTAGTACTTGGTGTTTGGGAATTGCATAGTAGTTAGAAACTACCTCCCGACTTGGACCAGAGACCATCCACGTTGATATTGGTTCCAGAAATGAAAGAAGCTTCGTCGCTGAGCAAGTAGCCAACTAGACTTCCAACTTCCTGAGGCATGGCAGCCTTGCCCCACAGAGGCTGCAGCCTTCCTCCAATCGTGTCGTACGTTTCGTCGTCTACGGGCATGAGGCTGGTTTTGACCACGCCAGGAAGAACTGCGTTGACACGGATGCGAGGGGCATTTTCCACGGCGGCCGTTTCGACCAAGGAGCTCACAAAGGCTTTGCTGGCCGAATACAAACCATTGTTGGCACTTTTGGGGCCAATCACCGCCCTTGCCATGCAACTACTGTTGACCACAATGCTGCCTGTGGGTCCCTCGTCTCCGACGGTCTTTTTGATGGCTGGGATGCAGGATTTCAATCCGTACAAAGTTCCCTTGACGTTGCTAGTTTGTGAGGACAAGACACACAAGTGGTGAGCAAGGGAGAGAAACGGGTAATGTTTCAAGAAAGCAACAAGCAACAGAGCAAGCCATCCTCCAGTATCGCACATACATGTCCAGAATTGCCTGAATATCCTCTTCTGGGACTTCGTGCAAGGGGGCGCCACCCTTGTAGACGCCGGCATTCAAAAAGGCCCCGTGAAGACATCCAAACGCCTTGACGGTTTCATCGACGGCTCGTTGATTATCAGCAGCGCTGGCCACGTCTCCCGCAACGACCAGAGTCTGGACGGATGGGAACTTTTCCTTGATTTCCTTGGCGGTTTCGTCCAAAGCTTCTTTGCGACGAGAAAAGAGGGTAATGGCCTTGACACCCTTTTGGGCCAGGTAGAGGGCAGACGCCTTTCCCATGCCCGAAGAGGCGCCTGTTGTCATTGAAAGAAAGACAATGATCAAGAAATGAATGAGTCTCAGAGACCACTATACGAATGGCGAGTTTTCATCCCAAGAGGGGAAAAAAACATGCATCAAGCTTACCTGTGATCAAAACAACTTTTCCTTCCATGCTTTCTCGAGTGATGGTTCTCGCTTCTCTGAGTTTATGGAAAGATATCGATGGTTGACTCTTTAGAATTCAATCCATGGTCACCCCGACGGAGCGGAGATGCGGCGCTTGACCTCTCCCGATTCCCGATCGGCTCCTGATCGGCCCCTCATCGGCGTTCTGACGTGTTGAGCTGCGTGGAAAACGCTTCTTCTGGGAAAGTCAAAGAGGTTCGAAGAACCTCTGACAGATCAGCTCCCAACCTCTACCCCTATCGTACTCAAAATTGTAGCATTAATCTTCGAATACCCAAGAAGCCAGCACACATCTCTCGCGAGAACGTTTTGGTCTTCAACAAAAATGGCAGCAAGTCACGATCTTATGAATGCAACGGTTGTGTGAAAGACCGAGGTTGCTTGAAGGGTTTATTGGAGGCATTTGGATAGTGTTGTCGGTGCAGCAAAAGCAGTCGAGTTGCCAGTTGTTTTCTGCATTGAAGAGATTCGAATCGAATCAGACGTTGGGGGCTGTTGGCTGTTGGGGTCCTCAGGAAACCCAAAAGACTCCATAGCGTCCTTGATCAGATCATCGAGATACCCGTGTTCTGGTCCACAGAGCTCTTTGTTGAGCTACCTTCTAATCTTCAACGACCTACTGTGGTGGATACCCCGATCAAGATACGCCTGATACCCCAGTAATCTTTTGCACTTTTCAAGAAAGGAATCGAATCGGAACGAAGCCTACTCTACCATGCGCTTGCCACCACCACCACCTCCCAAATGGACACCAAAGAAAAAGGTGGAAGAGCCAGCTCCGGCACCAGTACCTGAGCCAGCTCCCCCGCCGCCTCCGCCCCCTCCACAAGTCGTAAAAGAGGAGGAATCGAAAGAAGAAACAATCCCGCCACCACCGACGGACAACCAAGATACCGGTGGTGCTAGTGGGGATGTGGTGGAAGAAGCTGTTGAAACGGAAGTAGTTGAGGAAGAAGTGGTGGTGGAAGAAGAAATCATTGTCGAAGAAACTAAGGAATCCAACCAAGAGGAGAAAGCGGACGATGCGGGCTTAGAGGAAGCAACCACGACAACCATGACCACTGCAGACAGCACAGCTCAAGTCAGCACAGAGAATGATAGTCAAGTGATGATGACTCCACCACCGCCCCCGCCACCTCCACCATCCAGTGAAGAGACTGAGAAGGCTGATATTCTACCCCCGCCACCTCCCAGTGAAGAGACGGACATTGCGCCGCCACCACCTCCTCCGCCCAGTGAGGAGACGGAGAAAAATGATGGTCTTCCACCGCCACCCCCACCACCAGTGGAATTTGTAAATATAGAAACAGATGGATCCCCTCTGCCGCCTCCACCGCCGCCCCAAAGTGATGAAAGTGGAGCGCCCCCTCCACCACCGCCCAGCAGCGGTCCAAGCGAAGCGCTTCCACCCCCTCCTCCACCACCACCAGCAACGGATGAAGATGAGACCGATACAGAAGACGACGATGATGACGATGACGATGATGACGAAGACTCTAGTGATGAAGAGAGTGAAACTGAAGTAGAAGAAGAAGAAGTGATTGAAGTGAGGATGGAGGAAGAGGAAGTTATTGTTGAAGATGACGACATGTATTCCAACAACATCGATTCCAAAGGGGCACCGTCCTCGCATGACAAACGACAAACCCCAGAAGACGAAGAAGAATCCGACGAGGACGATGATGAGACATCAACCGAATCAGGGTCCTCCTCGGATGATAGTAGCAGCGGCAGCAGCAGTAGCGGGAGTGGAACAGGCTCAACAACAACCAGCTCGATCCCCCCTCCTCCACCGCCCCCACCAGTCCCAAGAAACCCAAGAAATTAAAGCCAATGTACGTCGGAAAGCGACAAGTCCCGCAAACAATCCAGTCGAAGTACAGGCTCCCGTCGTGGTCAGTCAAGAAAAGATTGAAAAGAAACTGAAAAAGGCGGAAGACTTGGATCGCATTCTGAAAAAGATTGATGAAGACTTGGAAGAGAAACGAAATACCGAAATCCGACAAAAGATTCGTGAAGCCGAAGACATGGATCGGGAGCGAGAAGCCAGGGCCAAGCTAGAAGCGGAAAAGGCAACGCAGGAGTTGCTGGCATCGTTTGCAGCGGGTGGTGCTGAGCAACAAATGATAGATGCCAATCCTCAACAACTCATGCAGTTGGTCAATCAGCAAGCAGCCCTGATGCAGCCTGGTACGGGGCAACAAGCCTCCCAGATGGCTGGTATGGCCAAAGATAGGGACATTTATGCCAAGAGCGTCGAAGGGGAAGAAACTGAAGGGGACGTCAGAATTGAAAAGAATTTGCTCATGGATCTGTTTGATCCCAAGCAAGAGGAGAGAAGGAAGCGCAAGGAACGACGAGCCAAGAAAAGGAAGAAAAGCGACGTCTCAAGAAGGAAATCAAGCGCAAAAAGAAAATGATGAAGAAGATTCAAAAGAAGATCAAAAAGAAAAAGAAGGAGCAACGGCGCCGTGAGAAAGAGAGAATCTTGGCACAGGGAGAATGCAACACGGCATGCATCATCATGCACGAGGTCCGCGGGAAGATCGATCCTGACTGGGAGAGGCGATTGCAAAAGATTGCCATCAAGACTCAGTATCGTAGGTTGACGGACAAAGAGCGGAGAGCAATGCGGAAGATCTCAAAGATCGATCCGATGAATCTGAGTAAGCTGCCCAAGAAGAAAAGAAAGGAAGAAACGTACGGTAGCAGGAGATCCTCGCGGTCTTCCAAATCTTCCAAGTCCAAGAAGAGGAGGGAGGAACAGGAAGCATTACCTCCTCCTCAGATCCAGATCCAAGAAGAAGAAGAACCGGCGTACATTGGCGTGGAAGCTATGCCTCATGACGAAGCATTGCAACAACAGCAACAACAACAGGAGGTCATTGACCAAGCTGAAGAGGAGTTACGACAACAAGCTTTCCTGGCAGAAGCCTATGCCAGACCCCATGGCGTCCAACAATCATCCCAGCCAGCATTCAATTCGCAGCCGTACGACGTTTACGGCGTATCCGATGAAAAGCCGTTCGTCCCGCCTGATAGTGGTAACAATGGAGCATATGGGGAGGCATCGTTTGGTCGAGTCGAGAGCTACGAGGTTTATGAAGCCTCCTCTGCAGAGTCCAGCCAAGTCCGCTTTGACCCTCGAACTCACCCCCGTTCGCCGCTTAACGCTTGCGATTTTGCGCAGCACTGCACCTCAGGTTCACAAGCAAGTTGGCTCGACGAGGAGAGCAGGAAGAATGAACAATCGACAGGTGTCATGTCGGGAACTTTAGCAAGTAGGATTCAAAGTACACAGGCTGTACGTAGATTGCACCAACAAGGTGTCGTTTAATTTGCTTACTAAAACCTGGAAATGCCCCTACCTACTACGTACGTTTCTAAAGTATTCCCGCCTCATTTTCTGATTGTTTCTGCTTTCCTTTCTAGCAAAATCAATAGGCCCACCAAGTCCGTCATTTGTCTTCAACCGTGCATAGCTTGCATTATTCATTCATGAATGCAGTCGGCATCGTGCTTAAAGGTAGACCCCGCGACAACCGAGAGATCATGAAAGGTAACAACCGTACCTGCCTGATCCTCTGGGCAACAAGCAAAAACACCAATATACACATGTCCCGGGGGTGCTGCTTTTCCCGCCCACGCCTTGGTGACGGCTTCGTGATCCGCAAGAGGATCTGGATCGCATTTGCAATTCATGCTCATGTGACAAATGCGGATAAAATTCCAGGTTTCCGTTTCGTCTTCCCATGCCTCGACCACAATGCTCCTATTGGGCAACAAATGAACTCTGATTTTGACTTTGGTGGCCGTGTCTTTCCAGTACTTTTGGGTGGACCAATCGCTGTAGCTGTTGGTGCAGACGCAGGACAATCGAGGGACTCCATCGACAATTTCAATTCCCGTCTTGAGCCAGTGCTCGCTGTCACACCGGACAAGTATTCCTGCCTGATCGAATTGACGCGTCGTGCCACTAATGGTAAAGCATGTTTCTGCCATGACAGCCTCATTGCGAGGCACTGTGGCGAACAAACAGGGTCCATCGTCCTTGACAAAGACGGGCGTGTAATACGTCTTGCGCCAAAAATCCTTTTTGGCGGGTGGCTTCACCACGAGTTGGCCGTCATCATCGACCATCCAAGATCCATCTCGGCCTTCCCGACGTCCTTCGACAAGACTCTCCTGCCAGGAATCAGGAGGACAGTACCACCTACACAACGCAACTAGAGAGAGTGAGAGGACATACACATACATACATACGCAGTACACACGAGTGCCAATGTCCGAGATACCCACCTTAACTCTGGTTCATCGCAGAAAGCGTCATCACTGACACTCATAAATCCGTCCACCAAGACGGGGAAATCGTTCTTTTCCGTCATCCCTCCAGTGGAACCCTGCCTGTTGCCAATGCCTACTTGAGTTTGCCCGTTTGTTGCCGTTGTCGCTGTCGATGTCGAAAGAAGTGCCTCCTAGCTAGTAGCATGGTGGCTCGTTTTCGTTTCCGATCTTTCGCCTTTACGGGACTGATACAGAGACACGACTCAATGGACTCGACATTCCGCAGCTCCGTCGGAACCTCCGCAACTCCGCTCGGCTCCGCAGCAGGAACAGCAACAGCAACAGCAATCAAGACAACAACAACAACAACAACAACAGCGTCTAGCTAGCTACTAGCTAGTATCATCCAGACTACTCGGAGAGGCTCAGGAAGTGTGTTGTAGGGTGTTATGGGGCCAGAGTCGGTGCTCATCAGTGGATCAGTCTCGTCTCATCACGTGTCGTTTTCAATCTGGCAGAATCTGTCATCAAATTTTTGGAGGTGGAAAAATGGGATGTCACCATGATGAGCTCACTTTTTTGTTCAACCGGATTGCTAGAGTTGCATACCCAACCGAACAAGGAAGATTCTCGCGATTGTTGATAAGCCTAGGCCAGATCAACCCCCCTTACTTTCAATTACCTTTCTATCAATCTTCTATTCAATACCTATCAATTGCAAAATGAAGTTCTCTTCTTCTATCATCAAGCTGATCTCGTGGTCATGGACCGCCGACAACAACAACAGCAAAAACAACATGAAAACCCCCGTTCTCCAGGTCGCCAAGGAGATGACGGGCAACAACAAGGACGTTCCTGCGACAGAGGAAGTCCCAACGTTCCAGCTGGACGAGTTGGACAAGACATTCGTCGAAACCGCGGCACTGTTGCACGGAACGCATCCTGATGTGGAATTCCACCAGCACGGTCGCTGCCTAGGTGCATACAACCTTTCCCTGGTTCCTTTGGATCATCATGGTCACTACGGATACGACAAATACAACCAGCACCGGCCCAAAGGCTGTCGCATCCAACCCAGTCATTCAGCCAACGCTCGCTGGAAGACCCATTACGGTCAAGACACCGAACGGAGCAATGGAAACCGTTTATCCTTTGCTCCCGTCAACACTGTAGTGGGGTACTCTTCTGACCAGAGCGAACAAGAAGAAAAACGTGATGTCTATCGAGACATGAAGAAACAAGTGCCACAGGCCCGATACGAATTCTGGCACAAAGCCCAACAACAATTCCTTTCCGTCGGCACACCCACACCCCACGAACGCGTCTTGGATCTCGTGCAGTTGATTCAAGAGTACGGATACCAACAAGTGGCCAAATGGATCACCAACAACCTATGGTTCCAAAGCGACAAAGCGTACCTAAAACACGCCAAACTGTACATTCAAATTGATGCCGTGCATCAAGACCTCGAGGGACTTGTTCGTTTCATTCAGGCGAAGAAAGGAAATGACAAGCAAGTCGCCCACTGGTTCATGGTCAACGAAAAGAACCCTTACATGTTCGAACTCGCCATGTGCCACTTGCATCACGGAGGAATTCAGCGCAACGCTGACGACGAAATTTGCACCTTGAATACGCGAGAACAGATTGCCAAACGACGATTTGTCTATCGCAAGGTCAAGGATGTCTGCATGGAAGATGCAGCACCAGTAGAAGTAGATCAACAACCAACAACAACTAAAGACATTGAGACAATCGAAACAGTCTCGACCGTCGACGACGACAAGATGGCATCCGATGCCACAATCACACACGAAGCAGTGGTGGTTCCCACATGCACAGCAGTGGTCCCATACGTTCAAAAGTGGCATGTGAAACACTTCAAGATCAGTGTGCATGGACAACAACAACCATGTGTATTGGAGATGCGAATGATGAATGGTGTGCTACTTGGAGTAGTACCCAACGACATTCTCTCAGCTCTGGTGAAGGATGGTGGAGACCTTGTCAAGGAATTCATGCGGCGGCACAAGACACTACGATTGGAGGCAGGTGTTGCCTCAGACAATGCGGATTACGAATTCGTGACTGGCCAAGTGGTAGCTGAAGAACCACTTGTCGAGGAACAACAACAAGTTGATGCTGATGAACTACTGGTCGACAACCGAGTCGATGAGGAGGACAATGTGGGCACAGCACAATCAACATTGCGGCGGTCAAAGAGACGCATGGCGGCGATTGCATCTCAGAGAATTGCAGAGCAAATGAAGCCACGGCGAGTGGCAGAACAACCTAGAAATGAAAAATGTAGAGGCGCGGAGTCGAAGAAGTCAACAAAGCCAAAGGCGAACGGCAAGAAGACGACGACAAGAAGACCTGTGACGGACACACAGCAGCAAACAACAGTTCAAACAACAAGTCGTTCTGGGCGGCGAGTAAGAAAGCCTGACCGGTACATTCCAGTCTAGGACAACAGGTAAGTTGGGGCGGCGGCGACGGATTGTGGGGATTACTAACACATGAATACATTCACAAAGAGCAAGCATCTGGTGGGGTGCAGGGCTATACAACAATTTTTTGCAGAGATGAATACAGTTGGTTCAATGGAAGGGTCACATAAAAGGTAGCCAGGTTTGTGGTTCCTGTGCTAGGCAGCCTCTATTGCAGAGTGCTTGTCCGAACGTCCTCCACGCGACGAAAGTCCAAAGTTAATACCCGTGACACCTGACAACCAACCTCTATCATTGCTGATGCTATGCTTTAATGCCCTTCGGGCTGGGGGAAACAATCTGGGGAAATCATCTCGAGTACAACCTTGCATAAACATAGAACAATAACACATAGTAGAGAATGTTTACAACAACAACAACAAAATCTGATCTTCCTTCAGTATAGCAGATGTAGTTGTAGTTCTAGCTCTGAGTTCATAATCATAATCATAGAAGCATCGATTGCCTGGATCCTTGTATCCTACTTGACTGTGGTCATGTCTCACGATAACCGGTGCGAGCTATCCAAAATAATGTAAGGGCCAATGAGCGTGTTGAGGGCAGTCATTTTCGCTCCCCTCAATGTGAGAAGTTTTGAAGCATCATTGTCTCAAAGCAAGACACAGCGAAAGAGAGAACGACGCCATGACACGCTGCCGGCTACGCCTTCTTCTATTGGCGGAGTCGCAAGTGTTTGTGAGACTGTGTGTGATCCCTGCCAAAGCTGTGATACGGTAGTAATAGTGGCTAGCTAGACACATGGATGCTTTTCGAGGGCCCAACTAACTGAACTCGAAGCGAACTGTGACTGACTACTAGTACATGGTTTACATCATGAAGGTTCTGTTATGCATTATAGTTTGAAGGAGTGCACTCTAAACATTTTGATTTGTCTTTTTGATTGTGATTTCAAGTGTTTGCTGGCTGCCTTCCCGGACTTGGGAAACGGAGAAACGATGCTGCCTGCATTCTTCTTGCCTGATATCGGTAGGACGAAGAAGAACAAACAAAAACATAGTCCCCAAAGCTCAACCAGGCTAGTTGCGAGGGCATTCGGAGGCAGAGAAGCCCCTGAACTCAAACGACAGTATCTCCAGAGGAACTGCTTCATTGATCCGGGCAAAGTGTTCCGTGGCACTGGGGGCACGATCGGGGGCACTGCGGTCGCATGTACAACTTCCATCGGTGGGGTATTCGAATCCGGGCTGGTCGTAAAACGCGCCAATGGGGTCTCGGTCGGGGAAGATAAACTCTTCGCAGTTTCCTCGGCACTTGAAATTGACTTCACAGCACAGGGTCCCGGATAAGATGTTGTTCACGGTGGACACGCAGGTCACGGTTACCATCTTGCGCTCGAAAGGATCGCAAAACACTCTGCCCTGCAGACGGTTGTAGGCGGCAATGAACTCTTCCGCCGCAATCAGAGTTGCGGGATCTTCCAAAGGCCAGACATCTGGCAAGTTAAGGTTGATGTCCATGTTGATATCGGCAATGCGAGCCAATGAGTAGTCGATGAGGATGTAGTCGCTCAAACGAGTGACCTTGTCATTGCACATTGCTTGATTATTCGTGGGACGAATGCTGGGTGTCAAGGAAGGTTGAATGGAAGGACGCTTGGATGGTGATATCGAAGGGGAACTAGATGGCGTGGATGAGGGCGATCGGGAAGGCTTGCTGGAGGGCGAGCTCGACGGTGATACAGATGGCGTTCGACTGGGGAATTGCGACGGAGATGCACTGGGAGTTAATGAAGGGACATCACTCGGTGACATCGAGGGAGCATCGCTCGGATTAAGGAAAGCGGCCACCAAGCGAGCTGTGTAGCCTCCAGACGCCAACAGCGAATTGTAGTTCGCGATGAAACGGTCCAGCGTGGCGTCATCAATAAAGATTGTGCCTTCCTCGATTTGAAGTGTGTCGGCGAAAAGGCGGACGCTTGAGACGCTGCTGCCCGAATCCTGTCTTGTCTGAGCCACATAGACACCGCCGCGAGTAACAACGTCGGAACTGGCAACCAAGGGGTCGCAGTTCTCCTGACGTTGGGCGTTGTATGCCACGCGGAAGCTGTACTCCAGGACATCGTCGGAGACGGCATCCACATCTCCGGTGAATCCAAGTTCGTATCGATCGACCACAGCGAGGAAGGTTCCACCATCGCAGACTTCGGCGGCTTCAACGACATCTTCAATCGTTGCAAAGTTTCCAATGACACCTGCCTCCTCCAACTGAACCAAGCGGTCATTGAAGATGAGGAGGAATTCGTCGGCAGTGGGTGCAGCAGAACCGTCGTTCGGCACGTCAGCTGGACAAGCGCAGACCTCAAACCTGTTTTCCTCCGATTCCTTCAACGATCGGCCAAAGTCAAACTTGGGGGCAGCTGATTGCCCAAAGATAATACTATTCTTGGGTATTCCTTCCTCAAGGTATCGTTCACGACGGAACACATCATCAAATAGAGCAAAGTAGCCATTGTCATCAACCATACAACCTCTACAGGTTCCAAGGACACTAAAAACAGCAGGGTACTGCTCCTCGACAGTGACATTCGATGCGGTTTCATTGGACTGTGTGCGACGGGCTTCTTCTAGCTCTCGGCGACGTCCTGTCGTGGGGACAATACGCACGTCGCTAACCTCTCGGAAGACTTCGTCACACGTGGAGAATGAGAGAGCATTGTAACTTTGCCTGAATGCGTCCTCCACCGTGAATTGTTCAAAATCGGAAAGGGACGAAAGTGGCATGTCCAGCGTAACGAAAACAGTTGAGGTGAACTGGGTTCCATTGGCTTCACAGTCCAATTCAGACACTTCAAGAACATCCTCCAGCGTGTCCACTTCTTCAAAGATATCACCAGCCTTGAGGGCAGAAAGTGTAAAGTTGAAAGCATACTGGAACTCTTCAGTGGTAGGAGCGCGTTGGAGGGGATCTGGGTGGGAAGGACAGTAGCAAGTCCCCGAACCCCCCTGTAGGAAATTGCTGCGGCCTGGATGGAAATAGGAAGCCACCATTTCGGGAGAAGATGTTTCGTTTGTGCCAAACGAAAACAAGGCGGTATCTTCATCACAGTCCCTGCAGGTTGCTTCAATCAGAAAACGAAGGATGTTGGCATCAAAAGGAGGATCAATCAAAAGGACGTTTTCTTGGAAATCAAGCGCCACAGACGCCTCAAGTGGTATAGTCTCTTCCTCGGGTGCGTCGGTGGCCATTGTCTCATTGACTGCAGTCTCATTTGCATCAATCTCTGTCACATTTTGAAGCAAACGTTGCCGTCTTTGCTTTCGTTTCGCGTTTTCAATAGATGCCCTGTCCAAGGTAACATTTTTAATGGTTCGGAAGTGAGGGTAGTCACAGAATGCATAGTTCAATTCGTTGTAAGTGGCCATAAAGCCCTCTTCCATGGCCACAATCTCGTCCTCCGTAAGCGTCGAGAGGTCTTCACCGTCGAGGCGAACATACACAACGGAGGAGAAGTCAGACACATCCCTGCTACAGTCTACCTCTTCAACTTCATGAAGATCAAACATATCACCGAGGACTTCACTGTTAAGGCTTGCAACGCTTTCAGCAAAAATTTGGCTGAACTCAGTTTCTGTGGGAGCTCTGAATTCAGGTTCGGTACCTTTGGGACACACACAAGTCTCAGTCACCGAGGATTTCTTCGAAGTCTTGACTTCCAGAAGCTCGACTCCATCCGCTGTCTTGGTCGTGACCGTAATGGAATCAACTTCCTCCAGATTGGGAGAATTCTCACTTTCCAAACCCTTGCCGTCAAAGATGACCTGATCTTCGCACTCTCGGCACTCGGCGTGCACATCCACCTTGAGAAGATGAGTCAAGTTGGTCTTTTTGAAGAAGCTATTTGTATATTCATATGGATAGATCTCGTTGTCTTCATAGATTGTATCGATGGAGGCATCGGAAATGGTGCGGAACGCGGGAATGTCACACAAGGCAAAGCTGACCTCTGCATAAGTATTCTGGAAGGCTTCCGCCAAAGCGGATAACTCGTCACTGGTGACTGCAGAGATGTCTTTGTGAAAGTCGATTAGAACGTAACTGCTAAAGTCATCGCTTTGATCGCTGCACTCGTATTCGTCTACTTCAAAGATCAGTTCGCCCGTCAGTGTACGGGGTATCTTGTGCTTTCGGAGCGCCTTCTCCTTGTTGACGGCGAATGCGCCTGAAAGTAGTTGACACAGGAAAAGAAAAACTAGAGCCCTCATGGCGAAGTTGTTTGATGATGAATAGATCGGTATAATTTCTCTCCTTCCTATACAGTAATCAAGTAGATGAGCTTGTTGGGAGCAGCAAGATGTTGTTGGAAAGACTGGATGGAGGCAAAAAAGTGAGAGCCAACCCCGTTGTTTGCGTTGCGTACTGAAAAAATATCAGGCAGCGCCCTCCTCTCCCAAAAAATAGCATGCGGTATCCAAGCTTCTAAATGGCTGACGCCCACAAGATCGACCAGAAGACCAATTTTCACCCCAACGGCAGAAATCGGTTTTCTTTAGGGTTACCGTTGATCTTGGTAAACGAGCAGGTGTGCTATCCCAAATGTTTGTATTCGATGGCCGGTCCGACAATATTCAAATCGTCGATTGAATTCATACATGTACCGGTACTTGCTTGGGCTGGCGCAGGCATGCCTGATCATGGACCGGTATCGTCGCCAAAACGAAAGCCACAATATCATAGATCTATCGTCTCTGGACCGACTGATGTGTGTCGAGTGACAGTCAGGCTGTCGCTTTTAACTTAAAAAGGCAACAGGTTGCACCGGTACCACTAGCTAGCTAGTAGAGTTACGGCAGCTGTGGAACTGGCGCTGTGGCTGCCAAAAGATAAAGTGTAATGGAAAATTCCGGATCGGCTCTTTCTATGATCCTTGTAGTGTTTTCTTTGGTAGACATGCGACTTCAACTGGGATCCTAGACAGACTTCTACAAACAAGTGGCAGTTCCTTTCAACAGGTCCCTTACTAAATAAAATTTATTTGCTGACTTTTAAAGATAAATATGACATTGTATCATCACAGGGCATCACAGTCCGCCTTCTGCCAAAACAACAGCCGAAGCTTAAAAGTTTCTCGTTGGCACAACGCACCGCATCAAAGCTTTTGCTCGTTTTCCTTCCAGGAGGCAGACCCATCAATTCTCTGGTGTAACTGATCATTGCTTCGTTCGTTTGCTTAAACAGTTGGCGCTGCAGTAGCGCCACCGCCACCCTCGCCACTGGAGCAATCCTCGTCACAGATCATGCGTCCGCCCCAGTTAGTCATGTGGTTGGCAACACCGTTGGGGACGCAGACTGGGGGACCATTGGATGCACCAAAGATGACAGGCCTGACCAACTGGGAGGAATATGCCCCACTTTCATCGGGGTCTCCACAGTAACATTGGCATGGCTGCTTGCATTCGCCGTCGCAGCAGCCACAAGTATCGCCCGAAAGGGCCAGAGTCACACCAGGGGCGACATTGCGAGCGCAAAGAGTGTGCTCGGAGGTGTAGAGGCCAAACAAGGAGAAATACTGACGGCACACAAAGACACCAGTGAATGGAGCTACATTGCAACCCGAATCACTGCGAACCTCATCACTGCATTCCTTGGAGGAATAGATTTCTCCGGCATGAGGGATGTTTAAATTGCCGAACAAGTCACCAATGCTTGGGAGTTGGGCTTGCACATTCGTGAACGAAAGAGCCAAGAGAATACCGGCGAAAAGCTTCATGGTTGTTGTTGATTGCTGGTTGTTAAAATGGTTTGCAAGGGGTCAGACAAAGTAGAACCAAGGCAAGTAAAATGGAAATGTGAGAAACCAATCGATTGGGCAAAGGATCGTGTTCGTTCCGGACCAGTTCTGTGATGGCTGCCGTCCAATCGCCCGTCTACCTCCAAGTTATCGCTATCTCGCCATTGGAATCCGTCACACTTAGGCAAAATGGGAGTCGGTATCATAAAAGTTGAACAGCCACGTCACCAAAACGCGTTGAAAACATTGTAGGTATTTATCCAACAGTTACTAACTACCATAATCAAGTCATGCCAAATAACACTTAGGCGTGAGCCGTGCGTTACAGGATCTTCCACTCGATGGCTTGACCTGAATGTGCGAAGTGGCGAGGAGGCATAAAATGAGCAAGTAGTCTACTAGTTCTACTAGCTAGTGGTCCTGGATTGGGCAAACTATAGGTATTGTAGTGCAGCTGGAGCTAGCTAGACAGGAACATCCAAACGATACTATTACTCAGTTGTCTATGCTTGGGGGGGATGCAATTATGCGTCGGCACCACCATGTGCCAGATCCGCGAGGAGACTTCAATCCACGAAAGATGAAGGCCCCCAAAAGCAACAAAAAAGAAGACCAACGCTAACAGTATCGAGTCTGTGAACCGTGTGCACCGGTACCGTAGCCCTGTAAGAATGTCCATGATTGATACCTTTGCTGCATGTACTGACCCGACCACTACCTGGTATACTCTATTTATTTCAGCCGAGTGGCTCGACTCTGTCGAATCGACGTCCCAGGTGCTATGCGGTAACTAGAAACTTGCAATCGCAAGCCACTTCGTCCTTGGGGAGTTCATGGATGGCTGAACACCCATGCGACTCGACATGCTGGAGTTTATCGACACTGCATTCTTTGCCAGTTCACATCTACGGCGGAATGTCAACAAGCTCCATTAGAATTCCGAATCGTCATGATTAAGTCGGAAAATGTAGATACCGAGATGTGTCCCGCTCCGGGAGAGGGAGTGAAGCCAATAGGGGCACAAGCAGCCAGCTGCTGGTCCAGAAATATCCCTGGGTACCTTAGCGAAGGTTCGAGCTGTTGGGTATAATTCTGAAAAGAGCTACTCCAAAGGACTCGCACCGACAGATCTGGGAACGCCTCTTTCATTTTGTTTTCAATGCTCTCTTGGACTTTTGGCAGCAGGAACTGTGGCATGTCTGTGGCAATAAACAGTCCAATCTCGACCAGCCGTTCACTCGTAGCAGATTGTTCTTCTCGTCGTCGTCCATCCAACCACTGCCGTATATTCTCTGTACTATTCCCCAAAACTTTGCGTACGGTTTCCCAAATGACTTTTCGAAACGCCCAAGGACCATCTCCGGCCCGCACGTGAAGCGATGCATATGTCAAGTTGTTCCATACGTGCTCTCGGATAATTCTTGCCGTGTGACGAATCTCGTTTTTGTATCGTAGCCGAACAGGGTTAGGCATCATGCTGGGATGTAAGTGTTGGAAGGAGTCCAATAGAGTCCACATTTTAAAGTGTTTTCCTTCCACGGCAACCTTGCGAATATCCTTGTATGTGACTACTTGACCATTTTCATTAGTTTCGTCCGTGACCTGGGTATCTTCCAAATCTGGTCGATCGAGTACAAACATCGTGTTTGGGCGACTGTAGTTTTTCTCCAGCACCCAGGTGGATATATCCTTCGTCCACTGTTTGCTGGCGACAAATTCTTTGTAATCAATTGTGGTCACATTGGGGAATGTGTATTCCATATCCAAAATCTTGTCGACGGCAATATATTCCTCCGGCCGAACGACTCGCATGTATGCCTTTCTCAAGTTGTACCCCACGTCAAACTCCTGCTTGTTGTCCTTCATCAGTCTGTTGTGATCTCCATAGATGCGCCTGTTGGGCAGTACGGGTGATGTCACGAGGACTCTTCCGGTTGCCTTGGCAATGTAGTAGGCACTCATGTAGCTTCTCACTTGATTGGACCACCCGGATCCAGAAAAGTGTTGAAGATAAAGGAGGGAATCGCCTACTTGCTTTCTCTGCAATTTCCCTCGTTTCTTGCGTGGATTTGTAGCGGATATCACTTCTTCATTTCTGGCTTTGCTCACGTCAATTCCGGGGGTTGCTGCATTCTCAGTAGAGACAAGAGGTCCGTCTCCAAGCAATTTGGTATCTTTGGTATTCGTATTCTCCAAAGCCCATGGAGCCTCCTGAAAAGCAATATTGTTTCGTTTTTTTGCGCTCGGGCGTTTTGCATTCACTGCCAACACGTTGCTTTCGCTTCTTCTATGACCATTGCCGGTGGTTTCAGCAGCTGTCGGGAAACTATCGGAAATGTCACCATGATCCTTGCTCAGACGGGAAAACTGTCGAATCAGGAAGAAACATCCAGACAAACCAAGGAGATAAAACAAGGCATGGCGTCGATTGAAACCTCTCATGGCCTTCCGGTTGGCCTCTTCATCATCTTCCCATCCACCTTTAGTTAGAACCTGATGGGAGCTGTGCTCTTTGCTTTGTTGTTGGTTGTGGTTTCAAAACCGTGTCAAGGAGCGGAAAATGCAACTCTATCTCTACTGTAGGTAGTATCTTCTTTTGAGGGCGGGTCGAGTTCTTTGGCGTAAGAACGTTCGTCGGGGTGCAGGTCGGGACGTGGGTGTGATGAGATTGGCCTGACAACTGGAGCGAACCATACAAGAACCTCGTTCCAGCTATCCGAGCTCCGAGTCAGCAAAGGTGGCCCGGAACAAGCAGAATTTGAATGGAACAAATACAGGAACTAGTACTTTAGAAAATCAAATGGACAGTCAAACCTGAGTGCTAGCTAGTAGCTAAGCGCCACGGTACCAGGTACCGTCTTGAGAAATCCTTGTGAATGCATTGTACATGTACGCTCCCTGGCTAGTTGCCTTTGCCACTACTGTATTTCCAAGCAGAACATTTTCCAAAAGGAACCAAGCGGTGTCGAATCTCAGTTATCAGGTGCTTGGAGCTTGGGAGAGCCACCTGGGAGTTGAATCTAGCTACCGGTAGGCAAGTGAGTTTGTCTTCGTCCCTCACAACATGATTGTCCTCCTTGTGTTTACCAGTCCTGCTGGCTGCTAAAGTGGAATCTTCAAGTGTCGGTCACAGATTCGCTTTTCGATGACACCAAGCCGTGGGAACAATTCCATTGTCTATTGGTTGATCCAACCCGGCTCTGCCACAATCAAGCAAGGAAGAAAAAGTTAGTTCTACTGCAGCAAGGTAGCTTTGGGAAAGAAAAGAGTTTTGTTTTGTCAGAAGAAGACGATGACTGATCCTGCCGTCATGAACGGCGCTACAGATGAGAGAACCAATGGCGCTGAAGAAACCAATGGAAACAATGATGATGATGACGACACACAACTCCGCCTGAGCATGTCGAATATCCAAGCCGACACGATCCGAAAGGTCCTGACGGCGGTCCAACGCCACGAACGAGAACGCATTCAAGAAGGTTTTAATGAATGGAATTTTGCAGCCGGTGTATTGAATACCATGTTGGTGGCGTACATTTTTGGGAATTTTCCAGAACATTTTTGGTTGTTGTGGTTGCTGGAAGCCGCTGCCTTGATTCCTCGCAAGATTTGGCAAGATTGGCATGCCCTACCATTGCGGCAGATTTTGTATTACGTCGATTATTGCTGGGTCATGACCTTTGTCATTATTTTCTCGCTCTACTTTTTGTGTGTCAATTGGACGCCACAGTTTATGCCGATTGAAATTCCCTACGAATGGCGCAAAAACATGTATTTGGCCGTGTTGGGCGTGGGATGTGGACCGCTGCTGGGCGCCACAGCCGCCATGCCCTTTGTGGCCATGGTATTTCACGACAACAAAATGATGACGTCGCTGTTCATTCATGCCACTCCTCCCATGCTAGTGTACTCTTTTCAGTGGCATGCCGAAGAAATTGTACAGGCATGGCCATCCTTTTTCCGATTGGAAGATGTGGGACCCGCCGAAGTGACGTTCTTTCCACCCGACAAGGGCCCCTTCTTTTGGCCCGGACAAGGACTGGGCACGGTGGCGGGCAATGCCACTGCCTTGTACTGCATCTGGTTCATACCCTACTGTACTTGGATGTCACTGATGGGGCTCGATTTGACACGCAAAGTACGACGAAAAAAGGGATCGGATGGGTTGCCATTGCCCACCAGCAAGTACGATACAGCATTTCATAGCATTTTTCGAGATGGCGTCCACGAAGGAATGGGGTACTACTTTGGACGATCACCGGAAGAAAGTCGACGACAACAAACCGAGGGAGATTACCGAACCAGAGATTTCTTGGTCATCATGACCATGCATGCCATTTGTGTGTGGCTCGCCACCATGATGGTCGCCTACGTTTGTTTGCTCAGCAAAAAGATACATGCGGCATTGCTCTGGTTGATTATAGTCCTTACCGTCTTTCGAGGAGCACAACAATACGTCTATTGGGTCACTTCCATGTCCAGCAAGGCAGTGCAAGAAGAGTTTGCCGAAATTCTAAAAGATGTCGAAGGAATCAATATTGATAATCATGACAACGACAACAACAACACAAAGAAGAAGAATCAATGAATGCAATCAATCAATCGTCATCAAGGTTTCTCTACAACGCAATTTCCTTCATTGTGACGATGTCATGACCATCAATCGACCTTGTGTGCTCTTGAGATTGAAGATTCGTGGCGTCACGTACTGGGACGACAATTACCCTGACAACTGTGTGTTGTAAATCCACTACTTAGAGAAATCATCAGCAACAAAGAGAAAAAGAA